AAATGATACTTCATATCAAATTCTATGACAAACCAGTTTCACTGATTTACAAACTACAGCTATTATCTTACCAATCCACGTCCAGTATAACTCCGCGCCTTCCACTTCACGCATCTCAACCAACCCCTAAAATATACAACGCTACTGCACAACTCACATGTCCCTAATATACTCAAAAAAACTTCACATACGCGTAGTACAACGACGCCCAAATGTACGCTCCCACAGCATCTTGTTCTAATTGGAAACATGGTCCATAAATGTTTAAATAACTTAGCACCACTTTATCTATCTAATCTATTCAAATGCAGATTTAGGTTATTGTTCACACTATACTGGATAGCTTTTTGTGCAGACACCAAAAGCTATTCAGTATAGTGTGCACACCTATCCGATATGTGACTCTCCACTTTAGAAATCGCGTCAGCAAAAGCAAAAGGTCTGCTAGAAATGACTCTGTCCTTGACCTTGCCAATGAAGATTGGCTACAGGTCAGCGCTCCTTTGCTTTCAGAGGCTCGAAGGGTTTTAACACCGTCTCCAAAGACATAATATCTATCAAGGATGCAAAGGCATTCAGGCGCAAGGTCTCCGCCCACCTTGATGCCAACCCTTGTTATACTCCCTAATTATGTAAATACATTGAATATTTTCTTTTCATTGTACATAAGCATCCACGTTTTTTATCAGAGTTTGTTTACATTCCCTTAAACTTTCCACTATCATTATCTGTACTTTGCATAGCCTGTTTTATAGTTATATTCATGTATTTTGCAGTTAGTGGAACAGTCGTGTAAATCAGAGAACAGGATACTTAAATATACTGGTTGTACATGCCGCTTTATTGACTTCTTTTAAGGGCAGCGTACAGACTCATATGAACTCAAAGTTAGTGGAGACAAAAATACTTACCCGCGAACCAAGCGTTATCTGAACAACCATCCATCTGCCTCAAAAGTCTTTGTATCTGGAAATCATCGCTGACACTTTCTGGAGTCAAACGGTTTTGCCTTTTTTCGGTTCAAACGTCTGCGCCGTCACCGAACTAACACTAGCGAATTGTGGTTTGAACGACGAATGCATTCAGTGCATTTGCAGGTTGGATCTACTAGTCCATTCCACCAAAGTATGTTTAGTAATCTGATCACCGATCCTGGTTGAAACTGCAAAAAGCGTAAAGTCTCTTGGCCTTAAAGACAACGCCACGAACCAAATAAGAATGAAGATTTATTGAGTGCACATACAAACGGCGTGGGTTGAAACTAAAACGGTAAAAAAGTAAAAAAGTTACAAGTTGCGACTAAAGTAAATTAGAGTAAAGAAATAACAAAACTGCAAAACGAGGACTGTGAAATACACTTACATTGTTTCGGCCAGAGAAAACTGCCGAAGCGGACTGCGAATAACGGGAAGCTAGGGACTAGCAAGAAACTAAAACTGAACTGCGCTAAGCGCGAACCAAAAATGAACTGCCCAAACTGTACTGCAAAATTACGATATATGAAAAATACGCTAGAACATGCGGAAAATAAAACTATAGAAACTTAGAAAGGCGCTAATGAAGATGAAAAAGCAAAGAAACGCTAACGAGGGCGCGAAAACTGACAAAAAGGAATAAACACCTAAATTAACGCAAAAAAAAAAAGACTAAACAAAAGGACGAAAAGAAGTATAAACTAATTTGCCTACGCAAAGGAAAAACAAATTACACAAGAACGAATAATAGGAAAAATGTTACACTTGGATCTTACACTGGTGTTGCTTGTCAGAGTGAAGCACTAAAACAATCGACCTGCTAACTAGCCACACTGGAACTGAGAGAGAATCAGATCACTTATCCAGTGGTGTTGCTTGTGTGAGTGAAGCACTAAAACAATCGACCTGCTAATTAGCCACACTGGATCTGAGAGAAAATCAGATCACCGATCTTGGTGTTGCCTGTCTGAGTGAAGCACTTAAACAATCAACCTGTAAACTAACTACACCGAATCTTAACAGTAATGAGATCACCCATGCTGGTGTTGCTAGTCTTGCGTGAAGTTCTAAGACAGTCGACCTGTCAGCTGAGTGCTGTTAGTCTGGGTGAAGCGATAAAACAGTCAACATGTCAACTAACCACGCTATTTCTGCAGTACAATGAGATCACCGATTCTGTTGCTTTAAGTTTGTATGGAATGTTGAAACGATCAAGGCTTAAATAACCTTATGCCAACCTTATTATCACTATGTGATAGGCACAATCTCACCAGGTTACGAACTAGGACCCAGCGATTGGGGAGTGTAAAGCACCACAGAGCGAGTTGTGAAGTTTACAAGGCATTCTAATTCAACCAAGTTCGTCGCCGTTCGAAAACTCAATACTGGTGGCAGCGGTGTGGGGGAATACGATAGACTCAGACAGTGAAAGTAGGATGAGGACGTTGAAAAATGATTAGACCTTTTGCGATAGTTGGTCACGTGATGTACTTTCTGTAAACAGGAAAGCAGTTCGTTTTGGGAAAAATTTGAAGGATTTGTATGGGGAAACAACTCTTGCCACCCAGTCACGCTTGATTGGCTTTCCATACAAATCCTTGCAAATTTCGAATTTATTCATACTTTTGTAAAATTTTTCCTTGAACATTAAGGGGTTCAAATTTTATTGTCTTCATAACAAACAACTTGAGCCCTTAAATGCGTAAAGGAAAGATTCAAGGACAGTTTGAAATTCTAATCTAAAATCTGGAGGCTCTCTCTTTTGTATTATGATATCAACGACCAACCCCCGACAAGCGCAATTCAATCCGATCCAGTCCCTACTTTATCACATGGGAATGGCTTAGGACATTATATGAAGTCTTAAATGATGTACAGACCATTACAATTCACTTTTATGATAATCTTTGTCAGTAATGAAATACGTGCAAAAAATGCCCCACAAACCAAACTATGAGTCAAAGAAAATTCGAATTTTGGAGAAATGGGATAAATTCAAAACTAAAGCACAGAAAAGCTCATAACTCGATTTTATCCGGGAGATTTGGTTACCCGGTACGGGAGATTGATGGGAACGGCCGTGACTCCCGTATTATACGGGAGAGTTGGCATGTATGGACCAAATGTATGAAGGAAATTTCAGGGGAAATCGATTTTGGCTCGAGTTAGCGGTCGAGGGTTCGAGTGATCGGGAGTCAACTGTATCTAGTTTACAACAGGTCAGTGAAAGATGAATATGTAATGAATGGTGTTTGTCTTTTTCATTTTACTTTTTTTTTTTCGTGTTTTAAACTGTGAAATGAAAGTAAAAAAACAATAACGTGCAAATGAAAAAAGGAAAGGTTGAGTAAGATATGAAATTAAATAAACCGAGTAATGCGTAGGCCCGAAATACTTGTTCTGAGCCCCCACCTGTGAAGCAGGATTTTTGTACGCGCCATGATTGGCAAAAAATGCCCGCGCGTGTCACATGAGATGGCACAATTTGTGCTAAAAATAGCAAATTTGCATTGGCTATCTCGATGGAAGCAACCCCATTACTGGAAAAGGTATCCACTTACGGTCTCCTACCCCGATTATGGCTCCTGATTCCAGTAAATAAAGAGCTTAAGAGTATTCTAGGGGGGCCGGCTGCTGGTAAGCCTGTCCCGATTGTGCTCGGCAACTTTCGAGCGTCTTTTTGCGCTTTGGTATAACCTGAGATCAGGCTCTATATGAGAGCCGCTAAAATTGGGCCTGATCTCAGGTTAGGTTTAGTAGCAACCTCGAGCGACGTTTGCTTTTCTGGGCAATTTTTGAGCAAAACTATGATAGGCTTAGAGCACATATCAAACTCGAAAAAGTCAACGATTTCACAGAAAACTTTAATTTATGCGAAGTTCGTGAGTGTTAATCAACCTGAAAGTAAAGTTCAAAAGTGAAAAAATGTATGTTTCGATAATAATAAGTAAGAAGTACAGCGAGACGAAAGCAAAGAGCAAACATACACCAACCCATCCCCACCGCCTAGCCAGTACAGTCACGCATGTGCACAGACAAATCGCCCAGGCAGTGGCTGTTAAGGACAGCTGTTTCGCTCTTATTGGGGCTTCATCAGGATAGCATAGCCGTCGAGTCAATGAACGGCAACCTGTGGTTTCGCCCATTCCGAGCAACTCATGAAAGTTTCAAGCTATTTTCCTCGACCGATGTTAACACTTTGTGAAGAACGTAGAATAAGGCTTTTAATTTACATTATATGTGCCTTTTAAGCTAACTTTTACATAAAAAATATACAAATAAGTTTCATGGTTAATCATTAATCATCACTTATATTAAACTGACAAAGCCCAAAATTTAACTGACAACTAACATTTGTACCGGCCACCTCACCCCAATCCAGTCCCTCCTATAACATTACAAAATCGCGCAACGTTTTATAATACTGAAGACTCCTTTTAAAGTAAAAGTGGTACTAACTCATTACAAAAGTATAGCACTTCGCTGATCGGCATCCTATTATCATCAGGACAATACTACGGAGCCTAGTTAGCGCCATGTAAATTCCGTGCGCGATTTTCCCTTCTCGAAGTTTTCCCGCCTTTAGGTTTTTTCCTAGCCTCCCCGCAGACGTCCGTTACGTTGGGGTTCGTTTGTCACGCATTCATTTCTCCACCTCCCCTACGGACGTCTGCGGGGAGGCTAGTTTTTTCCCCGACTTTTTTTCGATGATTTTCTCGACTTTTTTACCGACTTTTTTCTCGACTTTAATATAGATGGCCAGGTTGTTGGATTCTTCACGAACTCCAACAATCTCGACTCTGGGTACGCGATTGGAACCACAACCAATCCTCCACTGTCCCATCCCCGCTAAGGACTTAAAAGCTAAGGACATAAACCAGAAACATGACCCTTCCCTACTTGACTTTTGTTAGTAAATATGGCGGATTTCAACGTGAGTTACGGCAGATGGCTTACCCCTGATACCATGTGATAGTGAGTCCACAAAAGGCTGATAAAGGACATAATGAAAACTCAGTGGTTCTAAAGGACAAATCTAACCGAGTGACGTCAAATGGAAGCGGTTCTCTTTGAAACTGAGAAAAAAACAGACTGCGTGTGCTTGCGTCTTTGTGAAAAAGAAGATTGCTCAATTCTACATGCATAAATTGAAAATTGACTCGAATGGGGACAATAACTACCTATGTTGTTTCGCGAAGCAATTAACCAAGTGCCGGGGAACTGAACAGCTGTTTCAAGGAGTTTGTTTATTAATCTAATCGCAAAATTAATGCGTCAAATATAAAGTTTCATCGGCTGGGAAGTTGAATAATTTTGCTGAGCTGTGATTTCAGTCGATCTCTAGTTTTTGTTCTGATCGAGGATACATATCAAATTTCGTCGATTCATCAAGTGAAAGGCTGACTCGTTGATTTTATCACAAGCTGACAAAGGAACTGTTTGCGTCGGCGTTTTCTCGATCAGCTGTTCTTAGCTTGACAGGTCAATTTGGGAACACTTGATGATCGAAGAGCAGAGCGAGCTTTCAGAAGCACAAGTCAGTTAGGCTAAATGTCTTCAACGACCATCTCACGACCTTTGATCGGACAGGCAGCTGACGATCTTGAAAATGATGGAGACACAGAAGAAAGCGGATCGTCCGATGATATCAAAGAAAATCCTCCATCGGACAGCGATCAGACGGGATCCCACGATAAAGAACCGCTCTCAATGAAACGCCGCATTGCTTTTGTTGGCGCTCTTCTTCTCTGTGTATTCACAGTATTTGCCTTTGCTTTCTTGCTACCGTGTCATAAACCAAAGTGCCAGAAATTGCCATCTTGTCCCGGCACAAGAGATCTGTCATCTATTAACTGGACTGAGAAATTTAGTGGCATTACCCCAGGGAGAATTTCTTTGGTTGATGTGACAGGAGATGGTAGGACAGACATTTTAGTCGAGTTTGAAATAGAGGAAAAAGAGTCCGTGAATTCTTCATTCCTGAACAGGCTTTGTAAGAGTAAAAATTGCTATGGAAGTGGTGTTTTGGCCATAGATGGCTCATGTGGGAACACCCTCTGGATTCTTAGCCGCAATTCATCTTTTGGGTTACTAGCTTGTGAAAGAATGTCTGATGGTCTAAGCAATAACAGACATTGCTTGTTGCCTGAAGAGAAAATTAAACTTCTTCTCTTCAATGTGGTTAATGGAACTGCCAAATGGCAGTCTAAGTCACCATCAAGTGAGAAAATTTCATCCTTTGAATTTGCTAATGATGTCAATGGTGACAACACGAGAGACATTGTATTCGTAGATGAGAAAAAAAATGATGGTACAGAAGGTGACATTAACTTATTATCTGGAAAAACAGGAAATGCCATTGGAAGTTCTTTACCATTACCACAAGGTCATGATGGTAGCAGTGTCCTTGCTATTCACACTCCATCAACTGCACATCAGTTTGTAATTGTTGGCTCAGTCTCTAAGGAGAAAAAGAATTCATCTTTATGGGCAATGTCTTTACATGACTTATCAGAGAAAGTGAGAGATCCAATGAAGGAGTTTTCAGGTGAATCATGGGGAAAGCATCAGCCTGATCCAGAGAGTGGTTTTATTTCCATTATAAAAGATTCCCTCATACTGGTGCAACCTTTACTAACGGATCTTGATGGTGATAGTGTGAAAGATATTGTATTTCTTATAAGAGAAAATGGTTTTTCTCTTCTGGCCAGGAATGGAAGTGATCTGACAGTGATGTGGAAGACAGCCTTACCGTCAGATGGTTCTATTCATAAGTAAGCTAAATAGTTACAACAATAATAATTTATAGTAGTACCGGTAATAATAGTAAATTATTGATGTTAAGACATGATAACCCTTTAGTAATCAAGAAGCTTAATGTATTTATTGATAATTAGAAATAATTGATCTTGTCTTTGGGCAGTATAGTTGAACCTAGCCTGTACATGGACGTTGTTTTATTTTCTTCTCATTCTTTTCGAAAACATCTGCGAGCGCGTGAGAGCGAGCGTGAAGCGCGAGAACAAGTGCAGAGAGCGAGAAAGAAAAATAAATGTTTAATAAGAACAAGTGCAGAGAGCAATTAAATTGGACCAAAGATAAAATAAATGTTTATTAAGTTCCTCCCCCATGTCAACTCCTCATCAATATATCTCCTGTCAAGAGATATCATTATGAGAATTAATAAAATGATCACCATAGAGAAAATTGGACCAATAATTATTGGAGGATATAAATTGAATTTGTGTAATTGGACCTAAAGGGTTAAGCATTTTACAGCATTTAAATGACACTCAGAGTCATGTTTTAGTTGAAGAATGTCTTCTCAGACTGCTTCAATGCTGAAAAAGCGGCTAAAAGATGTCGGTCCATCGGATTATTGTAGGATATTATCCCATTCCCATAAAGCTATGGAGAATCTTTTTACTGGGAATGTTTCAAGGTGTTACAAAACGAAACTTGGCAGAGAATTTAAGAAATCTTGGTTTTACCATTTCACAAACAACAAAAACAGAAAAATAGTGGAAATTGAAAAGGAAAATCCTATTTAGGACTACTCTCACCTGGACAATCTTATTCCACCTTCTTATCAGTATGTAGTACTGTTTTATGAATTTTCTATGGTTTAATTTTCAGGTTATTGCAATCCCAGCACCTATCTAAAGAAAACTCTTCAGATGTTGTTGTGTTCATTGAATATGCTAACCATTCCTCTTCACTGCTGGTCATTGATGGTCCAACAGGAAAACTAAGCTGGATATTTCACAGCAAGAGTGGTCTGCCTGTGGCACCAGTCCCTGTTCCTAGTATCCTTGGCATGCCACAGGCTTTTGTGATATGGTTGCCAAAGGTAGAGTCTAAGATGCTGATTCCTAAAGAACAAGCAGGGAGCCAAATCCAAGAAGAGAGTTTTGATGACCAGAATAATGGCAGTAGAAGTGCTGATGGACATGAAAAACACAATAAGATGCCAAGACGTAAGCGCCACGTTGATAATGATGTAATTTCTGAGTCAAACCATGCTGCTTTCTCTGAATGGAAGTATCTTCACAATTTTTTTCATTATGATGATGATGAGGTCGAGGAGGAAGATGTTGATGATGATGATTATGATGATGGCAATGATGATGGTGAAGCATTTAATGAACCTGATCTTGGACTGGAGGATGATACTTACAGTTTGCCACTTTCCCAGAAAACATTTTTTGAGAAAGATATACAAGACAAAGTTGACAATGTGTTGGAGAAAGAGCTCCATGTTTTCCTTGAGAGAGTCTACAATAAGAAACCAGCTTTTCCTGTCACTGTAGCAGAGATCAATCCTCAAAAAGAGAGGTTTGATGTCATGGCAGATCCAGACTTTGACAGAAGTGAACTAGAGTGGGAGCTAAGTGACCTTACCACCGGAAGAGATCATGAGCCAACAGGAAACCATGAAAAGAAAGTTGTGATTCAAAAAAGTAGTCAAAAGAATGATAAAATCTTATCCAGTGCTTCAAATACACCTGAGATCTTATCTAGCTTGCAGAGGAAAGCTGGGGCCTCAGGTGGCAGTCAAAAGAGTGAAGATATCACAGTGAGAGGTAAAGCCAAAACTGACATCTTAGCAGCTATTCAAAAGAAAGAAATGAAGTTTTCTAATCATGACAATGATGACACCTTAAGAATGAATCATGAGGTGGCAGCTAATGCTTTTGTTCCAAGAGTTCACTCCATTCCAAAGAACCCTTTTGAGTCAACAGTAGAAAACATAGAGGCTGAAGTCCAAGAAACATCAATGAGTGATATGATGCAAAACAGTCCACTTCTAACAGAAAGTGACGAAAAGGAGAACTCCGAGCTGGAACCAGTCAAAAAGCCATCCTATCACAAGAGATCTGTGCAGGGGTCACTGCAGTGTACCCAGGGTTCCGATGATGATGCAGATGCTTATGTGGCTCTGCTGTTGCTAAGAGGTAGTCCTGGAGGACAGCACGTTGCTGAGATCACAGAAGAAAAACCACTTTACTTAGGTAAGGATTAAAAACACTCATAATCATTGTAACTATGATTATAATCTTGAACTATTTTAAACTCTTAATTTATTTACTTGTGTGAAGTCACTTGTCATTAGAAGTAATTAAAAGGTCAGAGATGATAGTCTGGATTTGTTCATCTTTTTTATCAATAATTTTTGCAAGCAGTTAATGTACAAATAGGATGATTTGGTGCTTTTCGTACTGTTTAAAAAATGAGCAGGAATGTAATTATCAGGCTTCAAAACTTGAGGCAAAGTCAAGAGTTTTTACACCTGATAATACACTCCTCCTATTTTTTTTTGAACTGCTTCAAAATCTCTGGTATACTGATAACTCATTCTTGCACTGATCTAATATTTAGATCTGGGATGGTTTTGGTCTAAAAAATTGGACGTAAAGTTTAGCCGTGTCTTTATCACATATAAAGACGCTCACTAAACATTACCGTGTGGCACAAAATATTTGCGGGAGTTTATTTTTGTGAATCGGCGATTCTTTGTGTTTTGCGGGAACTAATTTTTGCAATTTAAGACAGATAATTTGGTTTTTCTTGCTGGGAATTAATTTTTGTGATTTTCAGAAAGTACCCAGTACCTAGCATTGATAATATTTTCGTTTTTGTTGAGTACGTGCAATAGAAATACATATTTTCAAACACGAAACCAGTATTTTGTTGTATACCGTGTTGTTTCTGAATGAAAGAGATAAGTTGTGATTGAACAGACACGATTTCTTAGTACTGTATTTTTGTGTAGCGAATTTAAGTTGGAGAATATTTACTCTGGAGGAAATTTTTGCAGGAAAAATGTTTGAGGTAATTTTTATTTGCGGAAATTTATTTTTGCGGATAGCTGGAAAAATCACAAAAATTGAAAAAATTAGATCCCGCAAAAATTTTGTGTCACACAGTAATTTCTTTTGTTTGTTCATTATGAATTATTTAATATGGATAAGATAGTCATTGCTTGTGATGTCAGTACAGGGCTCATTTTATTTGGGACTGTTGCCAGTTGTGTTGACCAGCCAAAGAAATTTTAGCTGGTTCATGTCTCTCTTCTGACTGGTCAAAAAGTTGAAAATAACACAGTAACTTGAACAAACTAGCCTAATGACCAAAAACATAATGCCAAAAAAGATGCTTGTCGCCTTGAAACATAATGACAAGTGTGAACATTTTTTGGTCCCTTATTGAAATGCATATATGTCTGGTCAAAATGACTGGCAAAGTGATAGTTTGTGTGGCAAAATAATGGTCATCTTGGCTTGTCATTGCCCCAAGACTGGCCATTATTTTGATCTGCTTTACTGCGGTAACTCTATACTTTTGTTTTCAATTTTCTAGGAGGATTCTGTGAATATTATTTTGTAAATAGTTTATCTCTAGACCAGTTTTTTCCCCCATTGCAGTAGGCTCGATTACCAGCTGCAGTTCAGGATCAGAGACCCGACTCAGGAGACTGTGGAAATCGAGCCTACCATTGCAGGGCTGCAACATGAATATGCCTTAAATACATGTTCAACTGTACTTTATGTTAGAAGTTTGCATCTCTTCCCATTTAATATTGAATGGTTCTGTGTGAACAAAGTGTCTGATCAAAGTTTTCAGCTGGTTGAAAATTTGTCCTGTGCCATGTTAACGTAGTTGTCAATCAAACATGGAAAATGGTTTAATCAAAATGCAGCGTAGAGAATGCAGTAATTTTATAGTAACAATGATGCTCGACTTTTCGCACAATGTTTGACAGAAAATGGTCCGACCCAGCATGGTACACTCGGTTGGGGAGATAGGTTGGGCTCTAGCTAGTCACACAGGGAAGTCGAACGTCGTGCCAATAGTGGAGCGGTGTTCCCCCTTTAACGCCAACATGGATTGTTGTCTTCCTTTGAAGAGGAAGAGTGTTGTCTTTCATTTTAATATAGTACATGACTGTATAGGAATCATGTAATCAATTTACGTTAACACAGGAGCAAGGACATATTATTGTTCTTATAAACTCTGCAGCCACAAAGTAGCTATTACTGGTGGCAGACATGTTGCAACTTTCATCATTTTATCTTGCAGATGCAATGGAATATGGAAGTCTATTCAACGTCAAGGGAGATGGCAAGCTGACACCTTGTTTGCGGTTTTTGCCACGTCTCATGTCTGAGCCTGTGATAAGAGAGACAGAGGAGGGACTGGATCTTGTCTATTCCGTTAGTTTTGTTTCCGAAGATCTCTCCTTACATATAGGAAAAGTTAGAAAAATTTCTATGGAAGAAGTGTTTGAAAGGCTGAAAAGCAAGAAAATTATTGTAAAAAATGAAAAAAGGCAATCGAAAAGAGAAAGTAATAATAATTATTATTCTTTTAGCTTTCCTAGAAATATGAAATAATAGTGGTTATTAATATTACCTGTTCATGGGTAAAGTCAAGATTTAGTCTATATTGTTTTCAGCTAGAAGACTTATAATAATATTGATGTGGGAAACAGTTTTATTGTTATTTTTTTGCTATTAGCGCTGGCCGTAAGTCATGATAGAGAAATCTGTAGCACTTGTCTTGGTTAATTTTTTTTAAAAGTTTCTTGAATATTGCATGTGAAAAAATGAATGGCCCAAATACAGTACAGAGCAGTTTAAATCCTCCAAGACAGTAAACCTGTTACCATGGCTATACTTATTTTTATCATTTTTTTTATCTTATATAATTATTTTCTTGTCAGAGGCCCGAACAAGTAACTTTAATTTGTATAGATGAATTGAATGAATCCTGATAAGCTGGCTGATTATCAGGGCAAGAGCAAATTAATTAAGTGGCAAAGCCATTTTAACAGTTTGGCATTGAATGCCTTGTGAAAACATTAATTTTATTTAAAATAAATATTTAAAAAGTGCCTTCTTTGTAGTTAATTTGTTCAACTGATTGTTATAATTTGGGTTTATTTGTTCAAGAAAGCTTCTTTTTGAACTTTTTTTCCCCTGACAATCCATAACAGATGGTAATAGATCTTAACATCTCAAGCTATTTTAAGGCAAGTGGAATTGATAAATACTATTTGTTCAAAATGTATTAAATATAAGAGCAGTTAAATGTCAATGCAAGATGGAATGGTAATTGATCTGTTGGATCTTGTTTCATCCTCCTCTACTCCTTATCCTGCCCTAACCTGTTTCACTTCATCTGTAAATTAAAGATAAACTAAATAAAACTAACTTTATTGAGAGAGGATTATACTTGACAGTATCAAGACTTAATAAACCTATGGCTTTCCACGCGTCCCCACTAACAAACAATAAATTGAAAACACCTTTCCAGGATTGAAGACTTGGGCATGTTGGTGGCTGGGTAGAGAGGAAAACTGTTGTACCTGGAGAAAATTAATATCTCATGGGACCAGAGAAGTAAACCAATAACAAACTCTACACAGATATGGCATCAACACCGACTTGAATCCAGGCCACACTATGGGGGAGAGGGGGAGGAGCAGTTGACTGACACTAATTAGATAAACCTGCTCCCCCAATTTTCCCGTTAGTTCATGTTTAAACTGAACTTTCATTCAAGTTTTTAGTACTAAACAGAAGTTCTTAATTTCAAACTCTTGTAATTTATACTCAGCCTGTAGGAGAAGTTAAAAGGATGGGAAAACCCCCTAGCATTGATATTTTCATAAGAGAAAAAGGAGATGAAGTGGTCCAACTGAATCTTCTTTTATTAACCTGTGTCAAGCTCTTGGTCAGTGCAGATGAGCCAGAAAAGTGGGTGAGTGAGAAAGTGAAGCAGCGAGAAGAGAGACATGAAGAGCCTGCAATCATTGATCTTTACAAATACCACAGTCCTCCCGCTACCACGCCCACATCAAGAAAAAATGTTTCTCATATCAAAATGACGAATGTTAAAATTTCAAAATGTGCTGTGTAGGAGGGTTTCAAATGCTCATGTTTTTTCTTTGTCTCTGTGAAAGCAAAGCCAAGCAATCCTGGTTGACATAAAAATTGACCAATCATAGGGTATACCAGGAGCTGGTATACCTGAACAAGGTATTGAAAACAATGCTTACATGCTTCACTTTAATTCCCATCTCTTCCCAATACCCCAAGGTTTTCACACACTTTTTCTCGATCTGCTTTCCTTATCTTGGATTCTGGAGCAGGGTACTATCTATTGAAGTAAACTACAGACAATAAAATGAAACATCAAAAGTTCATTTTTTATTTACAAATTCTTAAAATCATTTTCAGTAAACTATTTAGCACACAACACTCCATACAATGCTGCATGTAATATCATTCAACTCTGTTGTGCAAGCTACAAACTCTTTAAAAAAACCCAAGTGATTGTTTATTATTAACCAGTGAATTCTTGCAAGATAAAATAAAACACCAATGCTCATGAAATTTTTTGTAACTATTATGTAAGTATTCTGCCGGCATCATATTTTTTTTAGATGAGAAAGGGAACCTCTTCAGAATCCTGCTGATCTTGAAGAGTGTTTTTCTCATCTTGTTAAATTTCTTTCTTTACCTTTCCACTTCCAAGGACAATAATATTATTGGTGATCTCTTGACTCTGCGTTTGAAGTAGAGTTGGCTTTTTAATCCAGTAAAATGCCCCATTCGGCTAGCCAGTCCCAACTTTTGTTAAGTGCCCTCAGTTTGTGACTTTGATAAATAATGACTAGCACGCATAATGTTGATATACAGTTAAACCTCTGTAAGCGACCACCCTTAATGTAAAGGTTTAGAAGTCCCTTGTGGGGGTGGGGGGCAGGGGGGGGGAGGGCAGTCACTTAAGAGAATCAAACCATGGGTCATTTCTGAGTAAACGTTTCAATACATCTATGTGTACTTTATGGAAAAAAATTTGTAGCCTGCGTCACAGACATAATTTAACGTCAGCTCGGTTAGTAACATCTGCGAAGCAGTGCCAAGATCCCTGTTCTGGGCCCCCAACAGATTCAACGAATTACTGGAAGTGCGTTTCAAATTTCCCTTCATCCTGATTGGCAAGTTGATAATGGCATTTTTAACAGGCCAATCATGACGCGCACTCAAATCCTGGTACACAGGCCAGGGGCCCAGAACAAGGATTTTGGCGCTGTTTAACGGACAGACTTAACCAGAGTTTTGTTTCGTCTTTGGCCCATGCTAAAAATTTGTTGTCAGCAATTTTAAAGTTATTATTACCAGTATGTGGTTTCCATGTTGGATAAGTATAATTATTAGGAGCTATTATAGAGATCAGACTATGCATTAAGTGGTCACTAACAAGAGGTTAAAAACATTGAAAAAATATAAAACTGTCATCCGAAAAAGTGATTGTGGTTGTGTGCTTATGAGAGGTGGTTGTACACTGTATGATATGGGAGGTTCTTATTAGGGACCTTAAGCAAAGACGTTTTTGAGCGACGCACGTCAACCGGAAGTGAAGCCTTCTCCCTTTTTATATGCCTTGACGCTAACAAACTTGTATTGCTGAGTTTCTTTTCTCTTTTAAAGACGATTTACCCGAGAGTTTCAACCAAACCACTCCCCAATGATGCAAAAAGTCCACTTCCGGTTGACGTCCGTCGCTCAAAAACGCTGTTGCTTAAGCTCCCTATTATAGGGCATTGACTGGAAAATTATGGTGGTTTATCATTGGCAGTCACATGGAAGGTGATTACGTATGAGCAGTGGTCATACATGGAGGTTCAACTGTGTTTATTTTGTCTCAAAGAAAGTATATGAAACAACATCAAAATTTTGAAGACTCATTTTGGATACAGTATCCATCGTCAGTTCTAGAACCTTAAAGACATAGTGGCAATTATTATATGTTGCTTATATTTCTTTTGTAGTCATCCTTGAACTGATGATGGATACTGCTGTATGTGAAATCTGTCTTCAGAAAAAATGTTGTTTTTTTTAGTGTGTGTGTGTGTTTTGATTTTACTGCTACTGAGTTTATTCTGATAATTTATAACTGTTCAATTAGATGATTGAAACAAGTGATTGATTTTACAGGGTTTGCACAGATTTTTGGATCCAAAATTCAAGACTTCTTCCAGACTTTTTTTCAAACAATAATTCGTTTTTCCAGACTCAAGGTTATCACTGAAATATGTGATCAATAGAGTCCTTAAAAACAACACAGGAACAAAGCTTTTTTCACGGTTTGCTGCAAACCTGTGGGCGAGATTGAATAAGATTTGACCAAAACAATAATATTAGTTCCCTTAAAAAGCACTTGTTGTAGCTTTGAAAAAAAAAACTCACTACTTATCACCATTTATTTTCACACTTTATCTCTCAATTTCCAGATTTTTTCCAGGTGTAGTTAAATTTCAAGTCTTTTTCAAGAATTCAAGACTCTGTACCAACCCTGGTTTTTAAAACATATTCTCCTTGAAATTCTTAATGAACAGCCCTGGCTCATCATTATGTACTTGAAACATGAAAGAGAGTCATTTCTGTTTTTCAGTAAATGTAAGCTAACCGATGATTACATTGCAATGATTTTACTGAGCCCTTTCACTCCTAGATCAAGTTTTCGTGAAATGATTTGGCATTCTAACTTGAATCTGAGTAAAATCCTATGGTGTATCCACTCAAACTTCTTTGGAAGAACTTTTGCAAAGCACTGTTTAGTTACATTTCTTGAGCTTTTCACAAGAAGAAAATTGGGAATTTTTGTGAATTTCTACTTCAGCCACTATTAGATTGAAGTAAAAATGGTTTGACTGTGATTCTAAACTTTGGCTTGGAAACTGGCTTTTTACATATTAAATAATGTGATTCTAATATGCTCTTTGTGCTAGGATTGTACAGTCTTCTTTAATATGTACCAGTAAGTAGCCACAACAGAACTTTTATGTGTAAGTGCAGACCAGTAAATGCACTGGCAGCCATTGCTGCTTGCCGTGGAAAATTTTTTGCCTACTTGACACTTGGGCATAATAAAATTAAATAAAATCCACACATGTTTAGTCCTTTACTGCATGCTTCTCTGGTTATCTTTTGCCACAACTGTAAACCATTTTGACTAGGCAAAAGAGATCAAGGTTCAGATTGGAAGTGAAAAGGTGAGCAAAAAATGTAATGTTTCTATCATGTTGAAGGATGACACAGATGTTAAATAACTTATTGAATTTGAGATACACTGCCTTATAAAATAATCTTGGTTCAATAAATCCCCACATTCAACCATAGTGTCGGCCTGATTGGCTCCTGTAACATGTCCTGACCTTAGCAACACTGTTTGCTATGTGTTTATCCAAGGCTTCCAATATTTGATTCGCACACAGGAACACGAGAAATAGGCCACATCAACCAAAATACCACACATAAACCTTCCAGCTGCAGTAAATGAAAGCTGAGCCAGCTACCAAGTTCTGAAGTCTTTTTCGATATTTATCATCTTTTCTGACAAGAACAATTGGCGATGAGGATGTGAGGCTTCCAAGTGGCAATTTTGCCAACTTCTTAGTGTCATGTTCAACTTGATATTTGCAGCATGGATCAAACTGCCATGAGACTCCATACAAAGCAGCACAGAAGAAGCTAATTCCACCACAGACCAAGCTCATGGGTTCTTTAAGAGCTTTGGGCAAAACCCATGGGCTCACAAAGCAACCAAGTCCAGCAATAACAGCCGTCTTGTGTAAACAATTTCCTACTTGGATCCACCTAGCTGTCTCTTCTCCGATTGCCGTTGGCTCAATGGCGATCATCTTGCATTGATTTTCCAATGCTCGTTCCAAATCTGCTTCAAACTGTTCATGTGCATCCTCAGAATCATAAATTTCATGGATGATAACACATTCACCCTCTGAGTAGTCTTCACTATGAAAAAAAAAAGCCATTTTAAATTAACTTTCCTCATTATTCACAAAGAAAACATGTTGCTTATGCCATTATAATAATTTGAAACTAACTGGACTAAAATATGCTTCCAAACAAAGAGAACAATAAGTTGTGAAACAAAGAAAATTTACACAATAATTTAATGTAAAGAAACATGCTGAAATTGATCATGCCAGTAACTGGTCAACTGCTTCCTATTATAGTTAATGGTGCCTCTACTTCTGGTTTTTGGAAAAGCTTGTGATTGACAGCTAGGAGATACTGCATAAATAATGAATGAACACACATTTTTCCATGTTACACGATCTGAACAGTTGGGTTGATGTTTTATCATGTCAAGCAAAAACCCTTAGTGTTTTTTAGTATTTATCTGTTGATTCACCAACAGATACTAAACACCCTGCTTGTGTAGATGACTTTGTTCTGTAGTAAACATATGTTTTAAAAGAGTGTTAAGAAACCAAGTGTTGGATAGATATAAGGATTCTACTGTCTGTGTTGTCATACACAATGATAATTCAAACTAAACATAACACAACAAGAAAGGTTGGTAAGATTTCCGATCAGCCCTGTACATTTATCATCTTTCAACCATATTCAAAATATGTAAAACTATTTATGTGAGACTGCTGCATCCATAGCATATGCATGAGGCTGTAAGGAAATCTTACTGAATACTGAGCAAAAATGAAATTCTATCACAAACAACAATGTCACCATTTTTAGACAGAATAACAGTTAAGGACGAGAAGTTATTTGCAGCTCTGAATTCCCATTTTCGAACAAACTGTAAACTAGTTATGCAGATAGATTTAGAATAGCAGTACAATACCACTAATTGCCAGGGGCAGTTCAAAGTACATGTACAAATCCTCGGAGCTGACGTTAATCGAACACGAGTGAGATTTCAGAATTTGTTAAGATACATGAATAATTTGGCAGAGCACAGCAATTGACGTTGATCAAAATACATCATTCAGCAGTACGCGTCCCTTTCAAATTCACTTTATGGGTGCGGGATAGCTAAAGTTTATGGCATCTTGTTAGATGAGACGGTACTGTTGAAACAACAGTACACGTGGCAGGTTTAACTAACACTAACGGTAAAGGAGGGAAATGAAATTTATCTTATAAAGGGCAAGCTATTCTAAACAAATCCACAATACTAGCGTTACCAGGAAAATACAGACCAGAGAAAACAAAGACCAAATATTACCTCATTTCGTCCGCCATTTTGAGTACCACTGGGACAACGCGCCAAATTTGGATGGGAAAAGACTGGTAAAAGTTATCCAAATCGAGGCTTGCTATAAACGGAGGATGACGTCATTCTTGAAAGCTATTCCAAGATGGCTTCCCTTTTTGGAGCAAACCCTTTCTCCTCACCAGTTGGGCAAAGAATAGGTATTTTGTGATAATAATTTGCTTTTTTAACCTCTTCTTAACCGTGTCTCTATCTATTTGCAAAGTTTTAATTTGCTGTTTACGACTTGTTAACCTAGGCTCGCACTCATGCCATGTTGAAATAGTTCCTTGCAGGGTCATTTTGATAATTCCCGTGATCGATTTGCAATTTTCATTGACCTGTCATTCTTTTAGAGAAAGCTACTGATGGGAATTTGCCATCGGAAGACTGGGCCGCCAACATTGAAATTTGCGACATTATAAACGAAACCGACGAAGGGTGAGTTTTATGTTGTATTTGTTGAACCAAGTTTCAGCTTTGTAACTAAGCTTATGTGCCGTTCATATAATTATATGATTCGATCTGCGTTCCAGAACTTCAATTTCCATAACCGTGATTATCAAAATGTAGTATAAGTACTTTTAAATGTTGGTATGTTATTATATGCAGGCCCAAAGATGCGGCCAAAGCTATCAAGAAGAGATTCTCCGGAAATAAGAATTATAAAAGCGTTCTCTTGACTTTGACGGTACGTGACTCCTTTCATAAAGTTCTAGACGTTACATCAAGCGCTTATAACGCTCTATTTCACTTCTCATCCACATGTATTTTTTTCCGAATTAGTGAAGGTGTCTTATATGTATGTGTTGTTTTTTGTTTTTTTTAAAAGCCTGCTTTCATTATTTATTAATATTTTTTGTTGCCGATGGGAAGTTATTTATTCAAGATCAAGACCTTGAACAAATTAACAGATGTTTTGATTTAAGCTTATTACGATCAAGCTAGGAAATTGAAAGGACTGGGTGAATTCAGTTACATGATAAACCACAAAGGCCATGATCTAAAAGAAGTTAAATTACTTTAAAGATCCATGCCAAATATCTTTCATAACTTACAGTGTATGTAGAATGCCCTCGTAATGTGCTAAAAATTGCTTTTATCAACAAATTAAGTTGATAAATTAATTTGACCAGCAGCCTGTTAGCTTGTCACACTGTGAACTGGAGTAAGGTGGACAATTCTACTAATTTTTTTGTCGACTCAGTTGATTAAACTTAAGTTTTTGTTGCACTTCCCTCCAATGCAAAGCAACACGGTTTCCTTCCCTTTTATCACTCTGTGGTACAGTATGTATTACTTTCAGCTCTATGAAAGTGAAATGTGAATGAGTCATCAGTATATTTGTATAAAAGTGATTATGATTGAAGGGAAATATTCCTAGTGCATTACAGAACTCAAATTGTCTTTTGTTTGTAATAGACTTGGAGCCCTGTAATGCATCAGAGAAAGATTACATGACAGTTTTAAAATTTCAAAGTTTACAAAGGTTTTATATGCAAAAGCCACTCAACTGTGACTGGATAGCAAATGTTGTTTTCGTCATAGAAGAAAATCATTCTAAATTTAGACTTCCATTGCCATGGCTACTTTTGAGATACATGGCTACAAATTTACAGGTTAGCTAATTTTTATATCCTCTTTCCATTTCTCCTAAAATCATTTTTCCATATTGAATATTGTTTTTGTGTTTATAGAAAGTTGATCATGTGATCAACTATTGCAGAAGGCCTATAGAGTACTAAAGTGATGACATCATAAAAATTAAGTTTCTGAAATTATGGGATTTGTCAGGATATTCTGAAAGAACAATGTCCAAGAGGCCTACTTGCCAAAAATGAGCATTTCGGGGCAAATTGTGTCTGAGATGTTAGCCGGTTATACTCAGAAAACTCAATACAAACCCTTCTATTTTGGGGGGGGGGACGTGGAGGGGTGGGGTGGAGTTTTCTAAGCATAACTGGGCTATGATCTCAGAGATAATTTGCCCTAAAATGCTCATTTTTGGCAAGTAGGCCTCTTGGACATTGTTATTTCAGAATATCCTGATAAATCCCATGATTTCAGAAATTTCATTTTTATGACGTCACACTTTAGTACTCTATTGCCTGCTTCAGATGGGGGAGCAGCTCCCACATGGAAGAGTTGGGACTGCTCTTTGAAAAATAGAATGAAATGTTGAGACCAATAATAATAGGCCATTTGCACTAAGTGGTCATGTGACATTGTTTTTATGAAAATGAAAGTTATATGATTTTGCCTTCAAAAAACGATTAGAGGGTCATACCTTAAACAAAACAATAGTGATTTGGTTTTTCAAACCGGCACCATTTTCTTAAAATGAGTAAGTTTGTAGCTGGTCACGTGACCAAAATGTGATTTTTAAAATTATGAATTACCTCTTTCTGAACACAAATTTTCCACTTACACTTCTACAGCTGTAGGAAAATGTTAAAAAGACGATGTGGTAACATTTACCACACATCTGTGCGTAACTATCAAATGTTTAACAAGATATAAGCAAAAAGTAGTCTTGGCTACCATGTTGGAGGGTAGGAGTGTGCCCTCCAACATGGTGGCCAATACAAATCATACTACTTTGTTGAAAAATTAAAGTGCCATAAAATATCTTCCTTAAATACGTTTCCTCTCAAATTTTGGGTGTAAGATAATTTTTATGTGCTCTGTCAATTTTTGGTGTCAGCAAGATTCCAACTCATTGTTTAAAGGAAGCATTGGTCATGTGACCTCTTAGTGCAAGTGGCCTATTGTGGCAAGGCTCAGAGGGTTTATTTCACCCCTAAAGGAGACCATATTCCAACACAGTATGACAGTTTTTCTTTTTAAAAGCCTGTCTTAAAAAGGTCCTATGCCTATCTCAAATTGATTGGCAGATTTTATAAGACAAACCTTCCTTTATCACCATTTCTTCATTAAACTAAGCTCATCCAATTCATTGTGAGATGCCAATTTCCATCTTATAATAATCCTCTCCTAAAATAAGTTCCTTGAGAGGGTCCTTTGAATATATTTTTGAATGTAGACGTTTCTACTCGGCCTGTATCTACCTGAATAACCTTTATTTGTATCATATATTATGTACAGTTTTTTAAAAATGAAAGAAACTTAGCATGTACTTTGTTATTTTTTGTAGGTGCTGGAGACTTGTGTTAAAAATTGTGGACACAGATTCCATGTCCTTCTTGCTAAGAAGGAATTTCTTGATGAAATTGTTAAAATATTGAGTCCAAAGGTAGGAATTCATTCTAATGGTTCTTTACACAGCTTTTCATTGCTTACAATATCAGTTGATTTTTGTGTTCTTGCTGTGATTTTAAGTCTATCCAGCTGGAATATTTTATTCTGTTAAGTTTGCAACCAGTGACAATGAACGTTTTACCTGTACACATGGATATGAAAGAATAAAACTTGGAGAAATACAGACTTCTTTAACAATGAAAATTGATGATATTGTTGATTGATGTGCTTATAAGAAGTACTGGTAATATTGATTCCTAGACTATGCCAAGTTTTCTCAATTGCATAATATTATTAATATTATTCATCATGAATTGAGAAGTTTTTGAATAATTGGCAACCTAAGAGTTTGCCAGTCGAGCCATAAGAAGAAAAGACATGGTGTAAATTAGTGTTATTGATTGTTGCGGGAAACAATAGAAGTCAGCAATCCTAATCTCCTGTGCATGTGTAGCCAGCATTTGTTTGGAATTGTACTAAGAATGAATGGAATGCAAAAAATGCAATCTGATCACACACATTTGGACCTTCCATCACTCATAATCTGATCACTCACATTTTGACTTTCTGTCACATAAAACTTACACAAAGCGCAGCATTGGAGCAAGAGCATTTTGACCTTTGATTGATCCTGCCCCACGTACTAGTAAGAAGACTGCGTTGAACCCTAGAGCTCTTGCCTACTGCAGAGGCAACTGCTTAGTTTTCTCATTGGTTGAAGATTAATATTATCCATGGTGTCTCCCCAGGGGGTTACTAAGCAAAGATTTACATGGGGAGGCTTTGCCCCAAGGTCCAACCCCTTACCCTTTCATACACCATTTTTTGAAAGAAAAGGTGTACCCCTTTCTTATACCTTCTATTGACATCCTAGTGTAGAAGTTTGCATCCCTTTTAACTGCTCAAAATGCACTGGCTTTGTAATTTGAATAAATCACAAAACCAGAATGTTTTCTCAATCTTTTCATAACCACAGAATGCATCTTTTAGCACTTTTAGGCCTTTCAGACCAAAATGACAGATTTTGCTACCCTTTCGTATACCTTAAGCCTGAAAAAGGTACCCCCCCTCCCCCCTTGGACATAGCCTCTTCATGTAGGCTGTTATAGGGAGTACCACTGTCTCTTTTGAGCCATTGCATTCAGAATAAGTTGGTAGGTGAACTGTGTAGTACATACAGTACACTGTACTTCTAGTAGAAATAAAACTAATCTTGCTTGTCTTTGGTAAGCAATTTTTCCAGACTAAAGGTATCCGGTGACTTTAAGCTACATTATAAGACTGTTAAATACAATAAGACAAAATATAGTACTTTTATATTTTCCATCTTTCAGAATAATCCTCCTCAAGTTGTGCAGGATAAAATTCTTTCTCTGATTCAAGACTGGGCTGATGCATTCCGTTCTTCTCCTGATCTGTCATACGTAATGGAAACATATGAGACTCTCAGAGCGCAAGGTTGGAAGATTGGGATAACTTAGCAAGGGTGTGGAGGGTTTAAGAATTTGTGAGGGGTTAAAAATCACAACTGAAGCTTAGATGGGAATGGTCTCCCAGTAATCAGTGACTTTGATGCTTCTAGTGATCTGAAATTTGAAGCAACAAAAGCCTGTGACATAAAACATTCTATAAATTTGTTGGAGGCTGTTATACAGCATTTTACACATATTTTTAAGCTAAAACTGAGCTAGAATAAACTTTTATGGTCGTGAGCGAGGCTAACTTTACATACTGTTCTTGGACTCAGGGATGACAAAATTTAATACTACCTCTTTATCAAGTTTAATACTTTTTTAAATGCATTTTCTGTGTTATTATGATCGTTAAATATTTTGATTATTTAATAAAAGCTATTGTTGGTTGCATTTTACATAAAAATTAAACATTAGGTACCTTTCCAGTAAGTTTATATGAAAGGATTTGAACAATACCTCCAGTAGATTTCAACCCTTAAAAGTAGATGCTAAAAAAGAGTTGTTAGCCACCTCTACATTTCCCTATCATTCAAATGATAGTAAAGTATCTTCTTCTTCCATTGCATATAGGTCTAGAATTTCCTGCTAAGAACTTAGATACATTGTCACCAATCTACACACCAGAGAGGGTAAGATGATACATGATCTTTTAATACTAGAATGTAACAAAAAAATTTTTCTTGACTCTTCTACTCCTGCAGCTGTAATCAGGGGTGTCATTAAGTTCTTAAGTGGCTGTAGCAACTGAAGATTCACCCATAACATCTCACACAAATAATTTATAGTGCCATCTTCAGCTTTCCACTTTGATCACTCGTAACAGCAAGTGTGCTCAGCGAAAACAGGTGTTACGGGTTATGGCCCTTAATGACAGCTCTGGTAATAGTGGGCAGTGTGAAAAATTCACACGAAGTTTAAATTTCTAAAGTTTTCTAAAATCCTCAGAAATAAATAGCACCAAGCAAAAGTTTTGCCAAAGAGGTTTCTTTTAACCCTTTAAGCCCCAATATCCACAAGCAAATTCTCCAAACTGATCTCTATACATTTCTTTAAAGAATAAGTTGAGAGAGTTTGAGAAAAGATCAAAGCATTTTCTCTCTGGTGATCACTTAGTTAATTCTCATAACATAATCTCTTGACATTGTATAGATATCATTAAGAGAAAATTGATGTTGGTCACTTTTGGGACTTAGAGGGTTAAATGGTAACACCGCATAAGATTTCATTCACTATTTAAAAAATAGATTGACAAATCTTACCACCATAACTTGGTCTTGGAAAGAAAAGGTTTGAACCAAAACTAGGTAATTATAGCTCATATTGGGCTAAATAGTAATTCTGCTCCATTATTTTTCCAAGCAATTATATTTTGCCATATTTATTAGCCAGTGAGCAACAAATCAGTATGGCTGATTAAATTCAGCCAGCTCACGGCTATTGTGTTCCAATAATAGACGCAGCCAGAGCGACCTCCTGCAAGACCATCAAGACCCCCACCTACCCAGGTAATATTATTGATGTATGTTTTGTTCTCACTTGCATATAAATGAGCATTCAAAATTGGAATATGAATAATTCAGAAATTTATTTAATTTGAGAAGCCTTCAATAAAGTCAAATAAGATATGCACAATTTCTTTTGCAATTCCATGTTTGAAAGGCAGATTGCAAGAAAATGTTTTTTAGGCTTCAAAAAGAATATTGAATGCAACTCTTCACTGATATTAATTTCAGTTTCATAGTAGGGATGACCTATGGTGTGATAGATGTAGTTGGGGGTAAGGGGTTTCTAGATCCTCCGTTTGCCCTGATCTGCCACTGCAGTGCACTAACCGAAGGCATTTAGCACTACATTTACTGACAGTCCAGTTGTTCCATTACAGCCCACAGTTGTTCCTCCACAAGCAACCCAACCTGGTCATGCAGTACAAGCTCCTGGTGGTCCTGTGGTACCTACTCCTGAGCAGCTTGGAAAGATACGTTCAGAACTTGACATTGTGCATGGCAATATCAGCGTCATGTCTGAAATGTTAACAGAAATGACACCTGGGCAAGAGGAACCAGGAGATTTGCAGTTATTACAGGTGAAAATTATTATTGTACATGTACCTCGTGTTCCTCAGTCAACTCAGTTGATTGTCAAGCGTTGCTGCTGTACAATGCCCTGAATATATCAGGCAGACAACCCATTTTTATGTTATCAGTACATTGTTGCATGACATATCCCCTCACCCCAATGATTTTATTCCCTCTGCGTCCTGCTTCCCTGATGCATAGGACGCGAAGATCGATTGATCGATCTGAACCCATTTGTGTAATTTCTCTGGCAGTTATTGGCTGTTGTTGAATGATGCATATTTCGCTTAGCCTTTGTTGTGCTTTAAAATATAAGGACTATATTTTAATTTTGGTTAACGGTAATACAGAGTTTTAGAGTCTGTCTTCAGACTGTCTGGTTACAGGCCTAAGCATTTTCAATTTCGGACTTGTTTTTTTTTAACTGGGACTCATTGGCTTTGGAGTGGGACTCATGATTTTTCGCAAGATGAGTCCCAGGACTCACCATAACTATTTTTTTCAAAATCACTGCCACCGCCTACCCGGCCTCTGAAATCAAAATTAGTTTTTTATGTCATTACTACATTGTCGCATGACCTATCCCTTGTCCCCCAGGTGCACAACTGTGTCTTGACCAAATTTGCCTGAGAAAAGATTTTAGCTAACAGATAGTAGAGGTTAGAGGTCTGTCTACCTTTATAAAATAACTAAGGTAGTGCGCGCATTCTGATTGGTTAAAACGTATGGTTTATTGTGCTGATAAACTTAGAGAAACTTAAAGTTATTTTATAAAAGCAGTAGACCGCACTTTCTATGGGTTTACCAGCATGATAACCCACTTGGAATGTTGGGAGAACACTCAAAAAGCTTCGGCTCATGATTTACAAGCTTTTCTCGTGTTCTCTCAACATCCCGCGTGGGTTATCACGGCAGTAAACCCATAGAAAATGTGGTCTATTGCCTAAATAAACAAGTGGTTAATTTGCTGAAGAATATGCTTCCTTACAATTAAATCTCTTTCTCTAGGAATTAAACAGAACATGTAGAGCCATGCAGCAGCGAGTTTTAGAGTTAATTCAAAGAGTAGCCAATGAGGAAGTAATAGGTTAGTATTGATCATGCGTTTTTTCTTAATATTGTTACAGTCAAACCAGGTCAAGCGTTCCCGTCGCTAACGAACTAATGAATTCATTCACGGAAAAATGATTTCGTTTGTTGATTCAATAATCCATTCATAAAATGAACAATCCAATAGTAATATTTAGCCTCGATTCTATAATCGAATGTTGATTCGATTACTGTTTTTTGAAAAATTCCACTTTCCACAAGTTGACCTCAGAATTTTGTTTTTTCCTCTTTTTTTTCTGAGAGTCGAGTGCTGGCGAGTTCTGAAGTTCAAACCCAAACAAACTGTTACATGTACGCCAGTTTGCTGCCAATAATCAGTGCAACAGACCTAGGCCTGACCTCTTAGAAAACACGACGGTCAAACTGAGGTCAGTGTATGTGCGGTGATTGGTGGATTTCAATCCTCGGCCTTTGTCAGTTTCTTTGCGTTTGCGGTCTGTCTATTCTAGCTGTTATTTTGATTAAAGGCAATGAAAAACGCAATCGTAAACGGCAGGAAAAGGTAAGCAAATACCATTGAACACAACAGACAAGAATAAAGAACAGGTAGATTTTGTTCAAAAACCAAATCAACATTTGATTATTGAATCGAGGTACAATTTGACCATTGGATTATTCATTTTATGAATGGATTATTGAATCAACAAACGAAATCATTTTTCCATTAATGAATTCATTAGTTTGTTAGCGACGGGAACGCTTGACCTGGTTTGACTGTAATTTACGTCTTCTAGATGAAATGGTTAAAATTCAAAATCATGTTACAAAATCATTGTAACTTTTCTGAACCCAAAGCCATCTAAGGGCTAAAGCTCTAGGGAGGGCTGGTTAATTAAATATTTTAGACAACAAAAAATTGAGAAACATTTTTGAAAACATCAAAAACTGAAAGTTAGATGTCAGTGATGTTAGATTAGGATGGTTCACTTTCAATATCCTAAGGCCAAATATTGTGGTTAATGAACTTAATTTTCATTTGGCCACCACAGAGTCATGTTTAAGAGAAAGAATCCAATCAGAAAGTAGCATTTATGCCTATGTTGGCACTGTAGCATGTTGTCAGGCATAGAGTGGGAGAATCTACTTTATGAAGAAACTTCAATATCATCAGTAGGCAGCCAATACACCGTACATTGCGATCGATGTTGAAATGAATGTAGATCTTAAGACAAATAAATATTATAAAGCCAAGCTATCACAATAAAACCATGGTAAATCTCATTATAAGAAGGAGGATCATTTTCCTAAGAAGGTCTATTTTAAGTCTAATGTGTTTTTTCCTTTATCTCCTTAGGTTTGCTTTTAAGTGTAAATGATGATCTTAATAACGTGTTTATTCGATACGACCGATATGAAAGATTCAGGCAGAACACAACCCAATCAGCTGAACCACCTGCACCCGCACCCACACCTGCGCCCGTGCAGCCACCACGCCCTGCTCCTGTGGAACCATTACCAGCAGACACTGGACGAATTACAACAGCCTGGCCAGAAAATTCAACCAGGGTTCGTTAATGTATAACTGTATTACTATAGGAAGCAACGTGGTAGCCTGTGTACAGATGCCCCCCCCCGATTTTTTCTGAGGGGAGGGGGGGCATGTGTATACAGGCTAGCAATGTGGCCGAGCTGTTAGAGCACTGGACTTGCAATTTGGAGGCCCTGAGTTCAAGTCCTGCACTGACCGCTGGCTGGATTTGTTCACGGTAGTCCCAAGTTCAAATCCTCGACCACACTTGTAAATAGCCAGCTGGTTTGCTTATGGCCAGTTGGGATTCTTACCCCCGGTTATGTTTGATTTGAATTATTTGTTTCAGTCATTTGCTTGGCCCCACTAGCATAACTACTATAAACACTGCGGAGGACAAATAAAGGAATTGTCATTGCCAACGAGCAGCCTTGCAAAGACGTAAGGCTGCAAGGCGGCATCATAATAAAGCCATGTGCAAAAGTTTCAAGGCAGAATGAATCTCTAAGCGATGTAACATAAGGTGGTGTAAGGTAATGTTTATGACATAATGCAGGACAGAGAATATAAGAAAAATATGCTATGTAAAGTCAGTATTTCAAATTCTTTATGCAGTAGAACAGTTTAGTACACCATTTTCAAGGTAATTTTCGGTCATGCAATCAAATTGAGTTCGAAATATTTTACCCAAGTACACTGTCTGTTTATGCCGCTGAATGATAACGCCGCAAAATTTATTGTGTCTTTGAAGCAAAATAATTCGGAAGGCTTCATTAGGGCACCATAAATCTTTATTTCCCTGAAAAGTAGACTTCCTAAGCTTTAAAAAGAGACAAAATATAAATCTGTACGTTGAATATTTGCGGACTTATGATTTTTCGAGGGTTCTTAGTTCACTTACAAGACAACCAAATTTTACGTGAAGTGACCTGTTTGCAACTGTGGATAAAAACACGAATTTCATTATCTCGAAAAATGTGCCTTGTAAAGTGGGGATTTCTAATTCTTTATGCAGTGGAACAGTTTAGTTCACTATTTTCAAGGTAATTTTCGCTTATGCAATCGAATTGAGTTGAAACTATTTTTCCTAAATTACAGTAATTTATGACATTTCATTCCAAGGAAAAGGCAAAATAATCTAAAATAGCAAATGGTACCATAAAGCTCAGACAGGAAATGTCCCTTTATTTTTCCTTTAATACCAGTAAAATGCGTACCAAAATGGTCATCGAACACTCCCTGCTTTAGTTAACTTTGTTCTGATACCTGTACCTACTTCAACAGTTAGCTCACCAACCCTTCCAACCCCACTTTTGCCTTACATGGTAATAAAGTTGCCCTTTTGTTGTTGAATACTTCACTGTACCCGGCAATGTATAATTTGTGCAATTTTAACTTGAGTATGTGTTGATTTAGATTCCAGTTGCTGCCCCTGCAGTTCAACCAGCACCTGCTCCAGTAGCCCCAGCAACAGCAAATGGGTAAAGTTGAGACCATTTTTAACTCTTGCAGTTGTATGGTGGCACGTTTTTCAGTTAGCTGACAAAGTTGTCCTTGACCTTGAAAACTGATGACTTCACAGAGGGTAGGATCTGCACAGGCAGTTATGGATGGTTCAGGGGCAAATGGGATAATCACAAAACAAAAAAAATGTCTTTCGCTTATTTTTTCACCCAATTTGGCATTTAATGGCCTGATTTTGGTTGTTCTATGCTCGAAGGTGGATTTTCTGAACCTATTCATCCCCTGGAAATGTTACTGAAAAATATGTTTTGAAGATAGTTGAGCCATTTTCTCTTCACTGTCTGGTGAGAAAGAGCTAGAACTTACCACAAAACCGTTTGCAAGTCGTACACTTCACGGCCTTCTGATCCGCCGGACGCAAAATATTAGCTTGCAAACTTTGGACATGCGCAGAAAGCAAAATTTCGCTGTCTCTCCTCTCCTCTTCTTTAGCTTTTCTTGTCTCATTTTTTCTCTTTTGCTGGGAAACGTTTTTAGGAAAGCTTTTAGGATCTTAGGATTAGATGAAAGGTAGGTTGGTAGTGGAACAAGATTTTCATGGGAATTTTTTCAGAGCCAGCGTTACATATATTTTTGCGTTTTCCTCCGGCCTTCTTGACTGAATCGTGTTCATTCTGGTATGGTTTGAAAGATCTCTTCACCCTACATAAGTTAGCAGAAAAGCTGCTCTTGACCATTAAAACTGATGGCATCACACGCGGTTGAAGGGATAAGATCTGCATGGGCGGTTATGGGGGCAAATGGTTTAATTTAGCATCATACACCATTCTACAGATTTAAATAGTAAATCAGTTTTTAGTTAACCCCAGTAAACAGTCACGATTACACTTGCAATACACGCATTGGCAATTAAATCACCGTTACTCTTCATCATTTCAATGCATTTGTTTCAATTGCTTAGAGAATCTCTGATCAGTTTTGACGATGAAGCAGTGGCTCCTTCCCAGGCCCCCTCAGTCGATACTGTGACATCCAAGATGCAAGCTTTGAGTAAGTTATTAACTTTGGATGCTTCACATCATCACACTTGGTGTTTTCATCAAGAATTGAACACAAGAAAGCTTATTAGAGAGATTAAGAGTCACGTTTACGGAAAACAACAAACGTCGGATTCAAGTTGAGAATTTCTCAAAATAGACAATTAGCAGATAGAAACTGTCCAGAACAATTCTTATGTATAAAACTGGCGTGAAACTACTTACTATTAAGTAGAAGTAATAAACAGTCAATGACAATTAAGGGGGGGAACTTGGTCACGTGGTACATATTCACGTTTGCCGTTTGCCGTTTGGCGTAAGCGTGAATCTTCATCTTTCTATGGTAGAACTGCCATCTGCAATGAAACTTGTGTGTTCATTGTTGCATCCAACTTATGAATGAATAGTAAGACTTCTTATTAGACTCTTGTCACTTGAGGCTCTGTTACAGCTGTATGTTCATCAGTCCTTTACCGCTTACTGAAACTCATATACATAACTGTACCCCTGCCTTGCTTGCCGACTTGCCTAGACTGTCAGCAGTCTCTTGCATTTATTTTTTATTTTTTCAAAGTTACTGGGGTACATGTAGCACGCGTAACGCATAAATCCGATCCGCAAGGAAAGAGGGTTTTTGTTTTGCATAAGAACTGGATGGACTGGGAGAAGTCCACTACTTGTCATTCTTTTGAAAAAGTTAAAAGTCTGAGGTGTTTTGATTCCGTGATGTAGGTTTTTTTGAAAAGATGTTTTATATTATTTTTAGATGTTGCCGCCACCCCTGATCAAAGAGCAGCTGATCAAGATGATGAATTTGACATGTTCGCTCAGTCAAGAAAAAGCACATTTGATGAGGTCAGACAAAGGTGAGTTAAAAACATGTGGCATTGAACCACTGGGTATGTAGTTTACCAGATATTATCCACAAAAAAGACAGCAGTTAAGGGTACTTTACAAACAACCTAATTATAATCTCAGCAGATAGCCATTTGCAGGCGTTCAAATAGTGGAGTGCGGCGGGAAAAAAATAAGGAGGTAGTGAGGGTGAGGGAGGGAGGGGGGTTCCTTCGCTGTCACTCCCCACCCCACCCCCTCGCTGTTTTCCTGCCCAGATCTCCTTACAATCCGTCCTTACAATCGGAGTGCCTGGAACCTGCCACTCAGCAGAACATTCAAAAGACTAATTGAACAAAAGTGACAAATATGGTCAATACTAGTTAGTACCCTGATACGTTAAAACTTTGACAAAAGGCAGCTCGAAGTGCTCTGCACTTACATGTTCTTTTTAGAATCTATTTCAGTTAATGCTAACACGCTTTAAACCTTAACAGACTGGTGGCCAGTAACATCGTGTCATTAATGACTAATCTGCTATTTGAACAAGCCTGATGATGACTGTCACGCGTCTTCCATTGTCAAAGAGTCGGTCAAGAGACATTATTCACCTGGAGGATTATATATTATATGGATTTGAGCGCTTAGTGTTATGTGCAAATGCGCGAGTTTTAGAAAGGATAGCTTCTCAAGATCCTTCGTACTGCATGTGTTTTATTTGTCCTCCTGTTTTCTGACTTTTTTAGCGGATCGACATACTCTGATAATCTTCAGCCATTTGATCGCTCAATTGCAACCTCCATGGCTGTTAACAAGACAGAACCAAAGGTACGGAGTATAAATTCTCTGGACCAAAGAGTACAACATTATTAAAGCTAAGTTTCATTTTACAACGCAAATTATATGGAATTGTTTTCTATATCGTTTTATTTTCTTTTTAAAATTTGTGTATTGTAATTGTTCCTTTTACGACACACGCCTGTAGGATTTGAGCGTACATGTATGCAAATATTTGCAATTTAGTTGTCGTTACTCGGTTACTTGAATGTTGCTCAAAGAAAAGCTATGAAGAAAAAGAAATAGCTGTGGAAAAAAACGAGTTCTTAGAAAAAGTGGGTTAAACTGATGGCGAAGATCAAAGGAAGGAAACAATCAAGAACCACCCTTCAAAACTCGTAACCCAATATGTTATCAACTAGGTATCAGCCCAACTTACATACATTCGTGTTGCTGAACAGTTATTGCCGTTCAGTTTGTAACAGTTTACTTATGGCTGGATTATTTTGTTTCCTTAACTTAACAGGCAGAAGAAACAAGGTGAGAAAAAAGCTGTTGCCTTATCATCCAAATTATACTGTTGTTAGAAACAATTTATAAGCAAACTGGATAACAAAAAATTTAGGGAAAGAATTTCAAGTCGTTACACTAAGCTCCTCTTGCTAACCACGCATCCCAGCATTTTCATGTTGGCTTTCTTGCTAAACGCGCAACAACGGAGTATTCGTAACTTACAGTCAGTAAGATAATTGTTAAATCTCTCCGGCGAGTGGTTTAAGTGAATTGGCCTCAAAAGAACACAAACGTACCGCAAAGTAAACTACAGACCACGAGCGTAGCGTCCATATACGCACATACGCCCGTGCGCACAGCTAAAATAGTGGAAATTATTATTTTTTATTTCCTGGAAGCATTTGTATCATTAAATCGGAATGACTGATAAATTTGTTGGATTATGTTGTCCTATAGTGTCTTTTTGTTAGAATTTCCTTCATCCTTTATTATTCTTTCAACTGACTGCAAAAAACGTTGTAGCGGTGTGAAAGACGAGAGATTGAGCTCTCATGCAATTCTGCACATACACAAGCACAAGGACGTCGATATTGGTAGCGTTGTAAGAGTTTGCCCGTCTGAAGGGTAGACATCTCGCCCTTTGCTTGTAGCCTCTTTGATGGCGTCACTGTTTTACCTTTTTTCGGTAAACATTTTACCTTGCCGATATCACGAGAGCTACTGCAGAGTCCGCAGAGTGTATACTTATCGCAAATGGTGACAAAATGAATTGTTAAAATGTTGCGCTAGTCGCCAACCAAATCCTTGTCGTATTAGTCTTTAAGTGGTTGTCTTTGTTTCTTTTTTTTCTTAAAGTCACATAGATGATATGGAGTCTTGGCTGAATGTAACAGAGCATGATGTAGTAAGTATTGCGATGTTGAAATAACGGATAATATGTAACTGAAATAAATCATTTATTTTGATTTCGAATGGCACAGATAAAATGAGTAGATATGATCTTAGCATTTAAGTGAATGACAAGAGCGGTGAAAATATTTGGAACCTGAAATCATCATGTCGTTCTCAATTTTTTCTGGTTCTTTTAAATATTTTCAGGTGTTTAGTTTTCTCATTTAACTGCAAGGATTACGTCTACTTTCATCTATTGCGCGCAATGTTGGTAACATCGTCAGCCTTGTGCTTGAATGTTGGGTGAAATGCATTATTTTGATTTCACTCAATATTAAAAAACTTGGTTATAATAATGATGATGATGATGATATTGTCACGGCAATTTCGAAATTGATCACTGCCTTATATATTCAAACCTATCAACCCGCCGTATGAAGCGGACGCAACGTCATTAACTCCCAAAATCTTCTTCTCAACATTGCTCTCAAGTTGTCGGCACTAGGCAGTGTCTTACTTGTGTATTTTCTTCTTTTTTTTTCGGATTTCATTTTATTGCCACGCGTAAGTGTTAACTCAACGGAATTCTTTTTTTTTTAACAGGCCAAAGCAGAAGCTGCAGCAGCTCAACAAAGTACCGAAGGAGAAACCTTAAGTAGTTCAGGTTTGTTTAACATCAAAGTAAAGTCGTGAACAGGGAAGGGTGGAGCTATATTGTTGAGGTTGTCGGTGCGGTCCTAACTACCGCCTAATTTCCGGGACAGTAACGACAACAACAACAATCAATCAAACATAGTCTGCTTTCAAAGAATTCTTAAGATCAGTGATGTAAGGAGAGATGTATTGTGAGCCAGGCCACTTTCTAGAATCATGCATACTTCTAGGAAGAGGAGGAGCCAGGTTAATGCTTCTCACTTTACTGACGATTTTGCGGCTTAATGCAGTAGGTCGCCTGATATGCTTGTTTGTCGGAAGTGCGTTTCAGCTTGGCTTTTTACCGTCGAAACTTTGCTTTTCCCTGAAACCTGTACAGTTGAATTTATGTTACACCAAGGTACACCACACTGAATTGGTTCTACCGGTCTCTCCCCGCCGATCGGTGTGACCGATGGAGACTGGTTACATCTATCGACCATTGAACCCGAGAGTGAATTTAGACCGAAATAATGCAAAATAGCTTTGAAATACGCGGTTAAGCTAATGTTCCTCAAACGCATCTTTAAATTCATGATAAATACAGCTCCACCAGCTTCAAACAGCATCTATGACAGAGAAAAATGGTTTAAGTATAATAATTTTACCCAATTATTTAGTAAGTGGCAGCGTGGTCTAAGTGGTTGAAGAGACGATGATGATGATAATGGTGGTGGTGGTTATGGTGGTGGTGTTGGTCATGATGCTGGTTCGAATCCCATGGTGTGAGACCCGTTGAAATACGATTCATTTTCTTTGTTACACAATTTTCTTTTTTTTTGAGGTTTTGTTTTTTAATCATAGTTTTTCCCTTTGCCTTGTTTCCCTTTATTTTTACTGCTGACCCTCTGCAACTTCTCCAGATTTTTGCGACAACATATTTTCTAGTTTAGAGTTTTCTGAAAACTGCTTTTGTGATTGTCGTTTCAGAGTTCGACAAGTTTCTTGCTGAACGAGCGGCAGCAGGTGGTCAGCGGACAGGAAGTGTAAAAGCAGGCGCCAACCGGCCCAGGCAAAGACAGATGCAGATGGACACAGCCGATGATGAAATGTTCGGATTGTAATGCATTTGTGAAAGACATCGTGACATTTTAGATACCCTCGGTCGTATGCGGCCTCACCAAGCAGACCATGCAATGAAATTGAAGACGTCTGACTTGCACTGATTATTTTAGTTGACTGACTTAAGAGAAACACACCTTCATATCGTTCTTCGAAGGAACAAACACTGCGGTTTGGCTCCTTGAAACTTTGCCTATGGACGAGACATTATGAGAGAACAGTTACAACGGAGAGAAGAGTTTTTTCTGCTTCTTGTAGATAAAAACCGATCAATCGACCAGCTCATACCTGGTAACTGATGTCTCCTAAAAGTTTTTCTTACAATGCGCCATGATTCGTAATTACTTTCGTGGAAATTTGGCTCTAAATATTTAGGAAAATAAGAAACGTAGGGTCCTGAATTAGCAGTTCATGTATAAATCTGCTGCTTTCCTTTGAAACGGTATCCTTTGTTGGATTATAGCGTCATTCATAATGCGGCATGTTTGGTTTGGCGGTAAAGGGATAAACAGTTTTCCAAAAGATACAAATTTCGACCCATCCTCAGAGTACTCACGGGTGACGTGAAACCAAGAAATCCGCAAAGAAGTCGTCGCAATAGAACCTAGAAAAAGAAAAGGTGCAAAACAAAGAAAAGTTCACAGTTCCTTACACCGAGTTATACCCAACATTTTGGATTCAGATCAGAATTTTGTCGAGGGAAGTAATTTAATGATTTCTTTATTTTCCCAGCGCAATCTTATGAAACAAACGGATGTAATTAGCCAAAACCTATCCTGTCAATTCAAGTCTCTCTTTCTTGTTTAAGTTCAACTCCCGAGAAAAACGGTCTCCCCTCACAGGCACATCAAAATCAGTAGAGTGTTTTTAGTAAAACGCTTTACGTGTTTTAGATTTTAAGTAAACTGCAATCGCCTTAGGCAGTTAAATTACACTGAAAAATTTCTCAGATGTACAATTTAACATTTAAGAATTCAATATTACCTTGACTGTAAATGCATTATCAAAAAGAAAGCATAGGTAGCGTTGGAAGAACCGCGTAAAACAGGCGCAAAACAAGAATCCCGTTTCTTGTTTTGCGTGTTAAGTGTTCAGTCTATTATGTTAATAGTGTACACGAAAGCATGAATTGCTGTTGCCTCTCTAACATGCAACAGTAGAAAAGAATGATGGACAAATCTAGGAAGAATTAAAGCTGCATTAAGATATTCAATTTTATTTACTGTTCACCTTCTTTTATTAAATAAAATGTCCCATTTCGAACCGTAGCTTTTGAAAACCATAACACATAGTGTGACGCACGTGTAGAGTTGTTTGCTGGTACTTCCTTGACAACCCTACTTTCACCGGATATCCGGGACAACTTTCTCATGTTAACAGTTGCTCTCCTGGGTTTGGACTTAAGAAGCTGATTTTCTCAGAGCTCGAGTGGATAGCCAACTCAAGTTGGGTGGTTGACTTTCAGCGTCCCCCCACCCCACCCCCCCTTATATAACTGGACCTTGACATTCAAGTGGAAGTAACCTCGACATAACCCATGTGTAGTTTGGGAAATTTCCTTAGGACGTGGAAAAAACGGGAAAGCATGCAACGCTCGGACCAGGGGGGCTTTCATTTTTATAGAGCGCTGGACTTGCAATTCGGAAGCCTCGAGTTCAAGACCCTCCCTGACCGCTAGCTGGATTTGTTCTCGGAAGTCTTCCGGCCAGTTGGGATTTTTTAAAACCCTATTATATTTGATTTAAATTATTTGTTTCAGGCATTTGCTTGGCCCCACTAGCATTAGAGCTATAAATACTGCCGAGGGTAAATAACGGGAATTTAATTTAATTTCTTTTTCTGCCGAAATACCGCAAAGAAAGCCGAGCTGAGAGAACAGATATTACTAAAGAAAAACAACCGCGAAACCGCAACATAAAATCGATGAAAACCGAAAAACCGCCGACGGTGACTTCTCTTCTTAAAAGGCATTTTTTAGGCGGGGATAGTCTAGCCTTCCACGCAAGCGTTTATAGGGGAGCTCGTTTTTCGTCCCTCCCCACAAACAGTGGGAAAGGAATGTTGTTTTTGGTTGAGCAGGCGTTTGTTGGGAGGGATGAAAAACGAGCTCCCTTAAAAACGCCTGTGTGGCAGGCTAGGGATGGTCGGCACAGATCCCATCCAGTCCTGCTTATACCATTTCTGACAGCAGATATTTGACCTGGAGCAGTAAAATGATACAACTTTCCCTAGATTCCCCCTATAAGCTGGTGCGATTGATCGCATTTTGAAAAGTAGGTCACGTTTGTTCCTGGATCCGCAACTTTTTGGGGGATTGGTCCTCTTTTTTACCAGTACACGACTGCTTTGCAAATTAGGAATGTCATTGCAACAAAGAAAACAACACAAACAAGAAAAAATTCGCGCCTAATCGGTTCAAAATTCGCGGTCAATATATCTTCCAAATTTGGCAATCGATTGTCTAAGTTGTCCAATCACATAAGGCTATATCCAGTCCGGCTTCTCGTGCGCTGTTGGTTTGTTTTCTGCGCATATATATCTCGCACATGTTTCTTTGTATCTGAAATGCTGTTGATTTGAGTTTTGGCTATTTTTCTTCGCGTCTATGATTGATCTTCGGCGTCGGTCGGCCGGAAGACGCAGGATGTGTTCCTGCCCACACCTGAAAGACTTTAAAAAAGCCGATGGGTTGAGAGTCTTTCGCAAAATTCACGCGCATTTCGTCTGTTGCGGTTCGCGTGAAGCAAGGAAGCGAAAGGTACAACACCAGTTGTAGATTTCCTTGATGGAGGTCCAGCGGTCTGAAACACTGCTAGCCTTATGATGATGTTGTTTTTATATTTTTCTTGACTAAAGGCCAGCTTGTGCCATTGTCACGAGTGTGGAACCTACTCCAGCCGTCTTCACTCTTGCCTTTTGTGCGTTTATTTCGGTTGCTACACCGGAAACCGGCACATTCACCTTCACGCGCAATCAACAGGCCATTCTCTAGGTACGGAAACCGTCTACTTTCGTTTATACTTCTGTGTCTCCCTTGATCAACTGTGAACTTTCCGTTTCACAATAATTTTGTTTTACTCCGATTTTTTAGCTTTGGATTTGACGCATGGTGCAGTCTACTGTTTCGTGTGCAAAGACAATGTATACGATCTGGATTTGGAGAAAATTTGCGTCGAACAGAGCGTCAGGGCCTGGAAGACGTTAGGTAGGATCATCATACAGTGTTGATCAGTGCAGAGAAAAAGTTTAATAGTTAAACTATTAATATAATGCATAAGGCAAATCATGAGGCGTTTACGCGCATTGTAAATATTAAATAGTTTCAAGCAGTTTATTTTGTGTCACATTATGCTGTTGCACGCAAATAAAGGAAATAAGTTAATTGTACAATTATACTGTTTAGGTTATAACGTACACATCATCTTTTATCTTTGGTAATTGTTTACTTGCTACATCTAATGTTAGAAGGGTAATAGTGGTTCATCATTTTTTGCTCCTAGCCTACATGTACATGTACATGTACTCATCCTTCTTTCTTCGTGTCCTAGAACCGGGATTTAATCCGATTGTTATATCAACGTTGTTGGACAAGCTGTTTGACTTGTCATCTCCTTACCTCCAGATTGTTAAGCTAGTGGCTACCGTTTCTGCAAAGTGTTCTAATTTTAACCAAATGATTTTAATCTTATATCTCTCTTTAATAACAGAGTGGCCGTTTTAATATTGATAAAGCTCTGATGACCTGCCCAGACATAAATCCTGAACAAATTAACGAATTCTCCGACAATAATATGCTGACTTTTGATAAGAAGGAGGAAAAAGTAAATATAATTGTCACCACTAGGTTTGAATAAATTCTTTTCTTGACTGAAATATAAATCAATTTGACAAATTTAGTTTTCTGTGGCTTTTCATTTGAAAAAGCTCTCCTTTTTTCAACCTCCCTTCCCCAGGAGTGTAGCTGTAGAAATTTTTTGGATCTGGGACCAGGATTCTTGTTGGGGAAAAAGGGTGAGTGCAAAGAAAGAGGCAAACCAACCAAGGGATAACGGGGAAAAGGGACACTGCTCTTTCCTCCTCCCCAGTCCCTTGTTCAGCTCTCTTCGCTCGCGGATTTTTTCCATCCAGTTAGTAGCCTTTCTTCCTCACCAAGGATCATCAGACCTGCCAACCTCTGATAAAGGAAGATCTGGAGACCCACAAAAAAAAAAATTGGGAGATTCTACTAAAAGGAGTGACCCTTTTTCCATGCGGGAAATTAACAGTTTCTTTAAATATTACCCTGCTTTAGTTGGGTCCCCTGGGTTGGTTCCCTCCTGTAACAAATTAGATATCGCTTTTTCTTTGACGACTTTAAGAGACAAGAGAATAGGTCATCACTGGGATGAAACTCGTAGCAAAGAGTCATTTCTTCTGGATAAGCCAACTTCATGGGTAAAATTTTACAAAGCACCATCCAGCCTTAAATAGGCACTATCATTCCCACGAAATTTGATCACAATTGTCTCTAAAGTCGAGCCTCCATTAAGCGGCCACCTTTTAAGCAAGCACCCTCCATTAAGCAACCAGTATTCAAAGTTCCAAAACAATAATATTGTAGAAAAGAAGGAGGAACTCTTCAGTTTTAAATTTTGTTCCTCTCAACTCATGTTTTCCCACAACATTATTCTTAAAAACGGTTTTGATCACATTCTCTGTGAATATTAAATCCATTAAAAAACCCAACTCATATCCCAGTGCATTCTGGTAACAGTCCACACTTGGTTTAGGCAGGTTAACCACAAGTCTCAAATGTTGTTTTCCTACTACATTGTTTAAAAAAATTTAGTTGTACAAATTTTAAAAAATAAAAATAAACACTCATCACTAAATTTTAAAAAATAAAATAAACACTTTTGCCCTCTAGAAAATCTCAGATTTTTCATACAAATCATATGCGGGGCACCCTAGATTTTACAGTTTCAGAGCACTGGGCTGCCTTCAATTTTCCTTAGAGCACAGCCTTGGGCGATTAAGACACCTGGGGTACTGGGGTACCATTTACAGGTGAAAAGTGGAAATTTCCAGTTGGAAAATCAAATGGTTTGTGCCATTCCATTTGGGAAGCTTCTAAAAATAAGGGCTGTGATTTGAGGCGATGCAATTTTTCAGCTATTTTTAGTCTGCTCAGCTGGATATACTTTGTATGGGTTCTAGCATTCTCCCACCATGTCAAATTTTATGGTTTTATATACACAAGATTTCTACCCAGTTGGTTTGCGTAAATGGTAAGCACCCCAGCTAGTCAAACCTGCTGTATGGTGATTTTCTTTTAACCATAAGTTTTCCATGTTGTCCTCCAAGAGACATTTTTTCCAACAATATTTTTACAACAGATTTTAATCTGCATTTTCTGCAAAAAATAGTAGATCTGAAAAGTGATAACCAAGACACTTGTGTGACTTAAACTAGCCTTCAAACCCAGGCATAGTGTCAGCTTTTACAGATAAATAAATTACAAGAAGGTGATTGATTTGATTACTGTACTTGATTAACAAAATTTTCACCAATTTAGTAAACTGTATGCAATTATTGTTAAATCTCTCTGCAAAATACAAGGTTTTACTTTTAAGCAAATCAAGTCTCCTCTTGTACTAATTTTGTAATTTTGTTGTTAAAGCCACCAGTGACCAATCCATTATTTTTAAAACACCAGTGACTCGTAAAATGAGTTGTAAACTTAAATAAAATCTTTTACATGCACTTTTTCTGTCTTCACTGTTACTTTATGTGCAGACATCAAACACTCCATTGGCTGCTCATATTTAGTTAGTAGTTGGACTCTTACATGTATGTGTGTATTAATAAGTATAGTAAAATTATTTTACGATACTTCTCTATGGCTACGAATTTGTTGATATAAACCAAAGAATTGGTACTTTTATTGGGGATGAGTGTGACGTCTCTATTCTGAAGACTATGTTCTGTTCTTATTCAAATAAAACTACATTTAATGTTCACATGGATAATTTTCCTGAGGGAGAGGGCGGGGGGTAACAACTGTAATGAAAATAATGGGGTTGCATTTTCCATAAAAATGGGGTCGCACATATTTGGGACTTTAGGGGTAAGAAAATTCTGGTGAGTAGAGATTTAAAAATGGAAAGATTTACATTTAAAAAAGTGACAGAAAGTGACTAAGTTTGGGTCCCAAAAGTTACATTTTGCTCAGAGGTGACAGATGGGGTCTGTAATTTTGCCACAGAATTGGGTTAGGGGTCAAGAGAGGCCAGCCGCATCATAGCCAAAATTGTCCCCAGGCACTTTGAATGTAAGGGATTTTGAACTTGGAAATGCCCTATTTCTCAGGAAGAATTTCACATCATAGTATGTATCAACAATGCTTCTTTTACACAGGAAAAGGCCGTGTTAAGTACGTTCCTTGGGAACCAAACAAATCAGAGGTTCAACTTCTCAAAGAGAACAAAAAGAGAATCAAGGTGGAGAAGAATTCTTTTATAGGTGAGTTAAAAAATGTTTGTCAGTATTATGGACACCAGCTAAAGCATGTAACTGCCATCAAGCAGCTCATTGCCTTATGGATGGTAATAATGCTTAAGATCATTCGTGGTCTGCCAAGCCACATTGACAATGGAGGTCAAAAGGCCAGCTGAGACCTATGTAGGTCTTACCAAGAACTCTTTCACGACCAGATACATGAACCATTAAAATGTTTCAGAGACCCAAACAAGAGACTCAGAATAGAACTTTGCAAGTATATCTGGCATTTGAAAGACACTAAGATAGAATTTAATGTAACTTGGAAGATTTGAAAGCAAGCAGCGCCTTTCAATCCCTCTTCAAACCGCCTGTGGGAAAAATATTTTAACATTTGCAGACCCGATCTGGGGAGCTAGAACAAGTGAAATAAACTTGTTACCTTCTTACAGGCATGCGCACAAATTTCTCCTCATTGGCTTTATATCTGCTGCAGTTGTCACACAATAGTTTCTGATTCAAATTCCAGAAATTCTGTACGCGCATGTGTAGTATCAGAGTGTGTTGTAACAAACTTTTCATTTGGTAATTTTATCTCAGGAGTGCCCCACATGTTGTGTGGTACAAAACTAAATAGTAATAAAATGCCAAGTCGGATCAGATCACCTCAACAATGCTTTAGTCCTTGCATTGAGCACTCTGCAATAGTCATGCATGTATATCAACTGGTAAAATATCTACATGTGCAGATAAAATTAGTCTCGTTTCTAAAAAAATTTACACAGGTATGTTTTTTTTTCTTTTCAATATGCAAAACAAAGGTTTTGAAATTCACACTAGAAAATGCATATCCCCTCTCTTTAAAGGGCCTCTGTATTGCTTTGTGAAATTTGTGCGGACATGTGTCACTGGGATTCTGAAACCCTAATAGCTTACAACAGACCAGATTCAGCTGAATCTAGACTACACACAAAGAATTCCTACCCTATCTCAGAGATTATTTGCAAGAAACTCTAAAATACACTGTACTTGTAATTTTTAGTTACTCTTGTCTTTTGAGTGATATCCATTTTTACTTTATTGCAGGTTTAAGAGGACTTACTAACCTTGGGAATACATGTTTCATGAACTGTATAGTTCAGGCTTTGACTCACACTCCATTACTGAGAGACTATTTCTTGTCTGATCAGCATGTCTGTACTGGAGAAAGAGATCAGTGTATTGTTTGTGAAGTCGGGTCCGTCTTCCAGGAGGTGAATAAAATTAATAGTATGATTATTAGAAAGTCAACATTCTTAAGTTTTTCTGGATGAAGCAGTGGTATCATACCCCCCCTCCCTGTATATCCCTCATGTAGTTTATGTGTAGCGGTAACTTGAAATTCCTCTTCTTAAGTCTGACCACTATCATATCCTCTTCAATTTTGGTTGAATCGTAGCGTTGCATTTACGCTATTATTAACCTGTAGTACTCAGTTTACCAAAAAATTACATCTATGTCGTTATCAGATACTCTAGACTATATTAAACAATGAATTTATGAATTTCATATCTAATCTCAATCGTGGAATCGAGAAATAATTGAAGAGAGTATTATCACAGTTAAAGGCTCAACTTATGCAGTTGCGAAAAGAAGGCATGAGAAAATTCAGGCTCGATGGATTCTAACTCTTGACCCCTGTGATACCGCTTCATTGATCTAAATCGTTGCATGATTTAGTCATAGAAAACATCAAATCAGTTGCAGTTTTGAGTTAGCAGACTACAACATGCCTTGCATAAATGTTTTCGTCTTTCAGTTTTATTCAGGTCAAAAGAATCCACATACTCCTTTTAAACTGCTTCATCTTGTTTGGACACATGCCCGCCATTTAGCTGGTTATGAACAGCAAGATGCACATGAGTTCTTTATTGCTGCCCTTGATGTACTTCATCAGTATTGCAAAGGTGCGTTGATAAAGTAAATTATGACAATATTTATCAATTACAGGAACCTCCATATTGAGGAATTTTAAAAATTTTAAAGAGTTGGAGACAGAGAAGTTGGAGAATCTATTTATTATAATTCTGAAATTGGAAAAGTTTTTAAAAACGTTTGCAACTTTAGCGTGATTAAAAAAGGAAAAATGAACTAATAAAATACTTTATTGGGTATAAAGGGTACAGCAAAGTGACTTAAAAAAGGTGAGGGCATTTTGAGCTTTAGCTAACACTGAGCTAAGTGATGACCGGCTGCTTGAAACACCATTTCTGGAACTGGATCTTTATTGTGGCCAATACAAGTCAGTTTTGATAAACTCAAAAGGTTTTATCTCTCTCCTTCACCAGTTTCGTTGTGGTTCAGCTAATAATGTTATCCTTGAGGACAATTTTCACCAGTCTTGTTTCATGTTCTGAGAGATACAATAAAATTATTTATGGTATGCTTATAAAAAAAATGAAGGAATTACAAAACGCGTGTTCGTTTAGGGTCAGGGAAGCGTCAAGGAATAGAAATGATTTTATTGTTTTGGACACTTTTGCTAACTTTACATACCATACACAATGTCAATGTTCAATGTATTTTTCTCTTTAGAGGATGCCCCAAACAAGGAGATTTTGGTTCCAAATAATCCCAACAGATGTAACTGTATAATTGATAGAATATTCACTGGAGGTCTTCAATCAGATGTTACTTGTCAAGCATGCAGGTAAGTAAGGCTATTTTTCTCCATTCCTTTCCCATGTTGTTCAGGAGTTTAAGTATCTACATGTACAACGGTAACGGCAACGTAAACATCACACAGAAGGGAATTCGCGCTGCGTAAAACTTCTTGGCTCTGACATTCCATCTCGTTCAATGAAATGTTAGCGAATTTTTCTCGAGTTGAATTCCAAAAGCCTGGTGTTTCTAAGTTCAGAAAAAGAAAAAATAAATCTTTTTCTCGAGTTGTTCACGTCCTTCATAAAACGTGAAATTAGGACGTTTCACGTTGTAGTCGTGCAGTGACGGCAAAAAAGGTACCAAAAAAGCGTGCTGCACGTGCAAAGTTGTGTTGTTTTTACTAATCTATACCTATTGCTTTTTTGCCGTTCTCGTTGCCGTCTCCGTAGCCGTTGCTAAAGCTTCTTAGTAGGCAGCTAGGCCCCGTCCACAACTGTCGTTTTTATTGGAAAAATGATTTTTTTTATCCCGTCTACACAAACCCGATGAGAACACTCACCGGAAAAGTAACCTTTCATAAACGCTCTCCGGAGGGTAATTCCGTAAGTTTTCATGAAAACAAAATGATCCATGCGGAATCCAGAAAAATTACCGTAATAAACGTGATGACGATAGTTTTTTGGAAGAGATAGAAAAAATATTCGTTTTTAATTAAAGAGGATACGTTTGGACTCTGTTCAAGATACAATGAGGGATTATGACGATGTCAGTAGCAAAAACATGGCCTGTAATGTGAATTAGCTGTGAATTTGTGTTCATGCAAATTTCATCATAATTTTTTTAATCCGCTAGATTTGTCAGAAAGAGATTCTTAGGGCGTGTATTCAAGTTTAAAAAGGACAAAGGCTAATTCGTGAAAGTCGGAAATTTGTCTTTGTTTAGTTGTACTGGGCCGGGAAGAAAAAAGAACCAAAAAGTGTGATTCACAGCATGAGTTGTTGCTTTTCAAAAATCGTAAATTGTGTAAGTGAGGACCAACGTGACAAAACAGTAGTAAGGCATCCAAATGGAGGATATAGATACGCAAAAAATGCAAGGCTGAGTTAACAGTGCAGCTACTCGATAGTCATAATTGGGCAATATTGCGAAAAGGCACTGTGAACTCGTTCTTCAAGGTCTTGCAAATGCCTATGGGTAAAAGCAAGCACTTGTTGTTTTCTTTAGGCCTATTGCTTTTTTGAATTTTTCGTTGCTGGCGTGGCTTCTTAAAAGTCCTACTGTATGAGGAACGTGAGAATTATGAAGTCTTAAAATGGCATGCTATTCTTTTATAGGAGTGTGTCTACGACTATTGATCCTTTCTGGGATATCTCTTTGGATCTTGGTAATGTAGATCATAGTAATGGGAATGGAAAAAGCAGTTCAAAAAGCAGTTCAGGAGCCAACGATAGCAGCTTCTAGTTGCCTGAGCCAACGATACCATGAGGATCAACAGTACAGGCAGATTTAGAATGTCAACAGGCAACAAGGTGCTCTCCAGTATATTGGGATTACGGAAAAGACTGGTCTAGCTGGACATTCCTAACTGGTCTAATAGACATTCCTAACTAATAATGTTAAACATCCTGGGTTTCACATACACTGCAAGCAGTATCTTTCTTTGTTAAGATTTAGTGGGAAACTGCACAGGTGCGCGAGCGCGGTTTGTGCCTTCAGTCACGCGTGTGGTCATTTCATGTCTCCGTGTTTCGCTTGACGGACTAAGAGAAAAGAGAGACTGCTCGTAGTCTGGGTTCCACACTGTAGGCGTGGCTATACTTTCGGAATGTTGTACGTTTTATTTTTCTTCCATTGAAGCTAAAATTAAATTGTTAATTGACTGTTTTTTTTCTTTCTCGTTGTGCAGAGGAAATTGGTCAGTCTCAGCTTACAGAAGACAGTAGCCACCATGATGAAAGCTTCGTTCCCAAGTCACTTGTAGATTGTTTAAGAAGGTAGAAAAAGAATCTTCAATGTTTTATTTCTTCGTCTTGTCCTTAAGGCTAATTTTATTTTTGATTTTCCCAATGTGTATATAGTAGGTCTTGCGAAAAACCTCTGAAAAATCTTTGGAAAATAAAATAACGAAAGAATTATAATAATGAAAGAAATGAAACTTAGCATTGTGGATGCAAACGATTATTTTGTAAGAGCTGTTTTTTCATACAGTGGATTTTTACTGCCTTATTGCAGGAAAAGCTCCGCCAGGTTAATTTAACTGCCCCTTTGCATCACCACTGCATTGTTGTCATAAATACAAATAAATAGATACATTGTACACTTTGATGTTTTTATTAGATTTACGAGACCCGAGAGACTAGGAAGCGAAGCAAAGATAAAATGTAGTCAATGTCAGACATATCAGGTAACAGCCGTTTTTTATTAAATTTACGCTGAAATTGTTACATTTTTATCAGTGAGGTATGAACAGATTTTCAATGAGTGCTGTTTAGGTTTGATCTTAGATAGTGGTATTACAGTTTGAAGTAATTTAACACACATTGCTTCGAGAAATTGGACGCTCTTACGATTTAATAAGGAACAATTGTTGCCATAGATATATGGCTCAACAAGGTCTCACAACGTTCTGACATGTTGGTCCAACATTTTCCAACAAAATCCAACATGGCCCAATATATTGTTCAAACCATCTAATGCAATATTAGTTTATGATTTTGTAGAAAAAAGAGGGATCTTGTTGAACGGGATTCTAAGTGTCGTTTCTTGTTTGTAGGAATCTACCAAGCAATTAACTATGAAAAAGTTACCTATTGTAGTATGCTTTCATTTTAAGGTAAGCCTTACCCGTATTTCTCATGTCGGATGTATTATTGGGCTGCCTGTGGCAATGCTTAATTGCGTTCTAAGAATTGCGTTTGTCGGAAAAGGAAAAAATGGTGGCCTTATAACAAAGAAGGCGTTGCGTGTCCCGTCCCCCTGCGATGGGGACGATCATTTGATTTTTGCGGGTAGACGGGTTGTCATTTCAGATACAAACAAATAGACTTAGAATGCAAACAAAATTCTGGCATTAACTTATATTATTAGTACTATCTAAACTTCAAAGTCATTCGTAGTTCGGCTTCAGTGGCCACAAAAAATACAATTAAAAAATAATGTGACTATAAGTACAAATTTAAGCTTCAGCTTTCGGGCCTTAGCAAAATATTATACCACTGCATCGCGTAGCCTGCGGTACAATGTACCCTCATTATAGGGGTTTTGTTTAGTTTAGAGTTTCTCTTTTTCTACACCCTTCGAAACATCCGCCTGCATTCCTCCTACTCCTCGCATACTAGAATAACGCTTAATTGGAGGTAAATGTGAGATAAATAACAATTTCAGTCGTTCTGGGTTTTTTTTATCTTTCAGCGTTTTGAACACTCGAAGAAATCTAAGAAAATATCTACGTACATTCCCTTTCCCCAACAATTAGATATGGCACCTTTTACCGCGTCAAGGTATGTTATTCCTTCAGAGTTTTTGTGTTCAGAGAGAAAATTATGTATATGAGATATTTTACGTTTCCAGTGGCAAAGGCTACGTTCACACGACAGTATAAGGCACAGAAATGGAACAAGTCGTTCGCACACATCGAACATCGCGCCGGAGTGGTTTGCCAAGAGGGGTTGGTGAACTAAATCCCAGACCTCACTCCTGAATATTTACTTTCGTCTCAGTGGATTCCAGTCTTCGCTCCTATTTATATACTTCCGGTACGGTTCACACCTGTACGGTACGGTTCATACCTGTTTACACTGTACTGACCAAAAAGAGACCACGAACCTATCCGATAAGTGACGCTCCTTTTTCGAGATCGGCGCGGCGCAGTTTCGCTCCGTTACAGAGATAACGCCTAAATCACCGTTCTTATGTCTGGACAGAAGCCCTACCCGGTGTTGTTTTCATACTGGTGCAAAAGTTACATGTTATAGTGTGACCTCTTGAAGGCAATGATATGGCTAAGCATTTTGTATTTCACGGCTAGCGAAGGAAGGAAAAGGGATCATGCGTTGTCCCACGTTTCTGTTAACGTCTCCATGCAGGCCACTAATCACGACTGTCATTTATATGCATTAGTCACCTTTGTCAAAAACGCCCCGTATTTACAAAGTCTCTATAAGAAGGCAATAGGTTCTGTTTTAGAGATGTGATGTGTCAAATGCCTTTTTCGGGCGATACGGAGTACGTCAAACATGTGATTACGACAAACAATGCCATAACACCAGGTACATTAGCTAAGGATCAGTGGCTTTTCTAATACCAATAATGATCTCTTTTTTTTTTCATCTTTAGGTTGAACGGTAATGGTGCTAATGATCACAGTCAGTCTACCCTGTCATGTGATTCCAAGTAAGTTCTTGTCCCTGGCCTTAAATAGTTTTTTTTAGAGGTCGACTTTCTGCCTGGACAAATATAGCTGTCGGAACTATACAAGGCTGACTGCTCTAAGGAAAATTAAAGGGAGCCCAGTGCTCTGAAACTGTAAAATCCAGGGTGCCCAGCATATGATTTGTATGAAAAATCTGAGATTTTCTAGTTGCCTGAGGGCAAAAGTTAGGCGCCAGTGGCCACCGGGCGCTGCTAGAGCACAGCCCTGCTATATGCCGTCAGTAATTGACAATTAGAGGCTCCACGTGAGACAGAGTCGGTGATTTGTTGAATTGAACTGTGGGACATTTTGATCCAGTTTCCTGTGCAACCTCGCAGTTGCCAATAACAGGAGCGATAGAGTCCCCAAAACATTCCCATGGTGCCAGTCGACACAGCACTGCCTCATTCTCACGTGCAATGCACCATTTTCACAATGTCATAATATACCATGTTTATCGCTCAAAATTTTGCATACCGTATTTCATCGAATAACAGTCGTCCATCGGTTAATCGCCTCCCTCGAATAATCGCCCGCCCTCTCGCCATCTCTTCCTTTTATCTCCTCTCTGTCAAGCTCAAGTGCAACGAGATCCAGCAAAACTGATCAGTGACTATTAACGCTCTGAAAATTAATCAAGGAACTAAATTTTTAACACTTAAAAAGTCCATGTCCAGGTTATTTTATGTGATTATTTGTAGATTTTATGGGAAAATAAAACGAAATATTATTGGCACGACTTCCAGTAAGCACTATTTGAAATAATCACTTCCCTGGAATAGTCGCCCCCTTTTTGTGCGAAAAAAAGGGGGCCCGGCTATTATTCGAGGAAACCAGTCTTTCCAGTTTTTCCAGGGTATTACATTCGTCCCAAGAGAGATCGTATACAATGCTTAAGTAAAATTTTGCGGTGTAAGCAAGTTGCATCGAGTCACTTGAATTTCAAAAGAAATGGTCCAGTATTGTTACATTTAAGACTATATTTATGCATTGAAACTGTTTCCCGTCGTCTGTTGTAACGGATCGCAATGATGGACATGGACTGAAACTTGAAAACGTTGGGTCAGCATTTTTAAGTTTTAATGACATGCCTGCAAAAATCGCCGAAAATCACAACAGAGTTACCTTTCTTATCAATTATGTATTGTGTTTTTGTTTGTTTTTCCAGATACACATTATTCGCGGTAGTAAATCACAGTGGTACACTGGAAGTCGGACATTACACAAGTTTCATTCGCCAACAACAGCAGGTTTGAAACTCATGAGCTCTTACGTACCAGAAGTGGGTAGAGTGACCAACGAGTACTTGGAAGGTCTTGGGTTCAAATTGTGTTTGGGACTCGTTTTTTTTTCTGTCTAACGCTTGCGATAACGCCACTTTTATTTATTTACCAAGCTTACCATCTACCATCTTTCATTCTTCATCGCTACACAGCATCTATTCAGTGGACACTGCTTGTCCCAGCTGCAGCATGCAGGAGGAGTAGGGATGGCGCAGTGGTGAGAGCACTCGCCTTCCACCTATGTGGCCCGGGTTCGATTCCCGGACTCGACGTCATATGTGGGTTGAGTTTGTTGTTGGTTCTCTTCTCTACTCCGAGAGGTTTTTCTCCGGGTACTCCGGTTTTCCCCTCTCCGCAAAAACCAACATTTCTAAATTCCAATTCGATCCGGAATGCTCGAGCGTTTTATACATAAGCCCCTGGCTCGGGAGATTGGGCAACCACTCCTCACGCTATCGAGCTTAAATAATTAAAAAACAAAATTAGAACGCCGTCACTTATGAACCTAATAAATGTTGCATCTTACCTTCCCTAGTCCCAAGACCTCAAAATTTAAGCCCCGCAGTCAGTGCGTCTCGGAAGGGTCTCGTGATGAGAAGAGGAAGTGGCCCTTCGTCTCTGTTCAATACTTCTCCGAAAACTATAACAAGTGTGAGGGCCAGGGAAGCCGTATAGGAGCTAGGGGAAAAACATACAAAAGTTGTCTTGAATGTCGCTTAGCTCCCTAGTTACAGCACTCAATCAGTATCGAGGGATATCATGGGTTTATATTCCATCTGGTCTCAAATATATTGCCTTTGTGGTACGCTTGGAAGATAATCTGTCCTTTTGGTATTTTTGTATTTCGACTTCAATTTCAAATTCCAAAATAACTGTCAACTTCACACTGATTTTCTAAACATTTTTGTGCATTGTGTTCCTCAGTGGTTCAAATGCGATGATGCTTGGATAACTAAAGCAACCTTGGATGACGTTCTTCAAAGTGAAGGGTGAGTTTTGGCAACAATCTGAAAATATGATGGATATGAGGAGTCATCAAGGAAAGACTAGTTTCGAGAAAAGAAATTTGATTTTAACAAGTCTGTATTAAATGCCCTGGAGACCTGTACGGCAGTGTCTTTTCTTGTAGCAGATTGTTAGAGCTGCATAGGGAAAAGCAATCTTTTTTTTTTGTTACGGGTGCTGGTTTTAGGTCATTTTGCACAATTCAAACCATCTGTCCACTTCGTCGTGTTTGTTAGTTGCTGATGCGGTTTTGCAGGTCACGTTGTCAATCTCATTTGACCCCGGGGTATGGAATTTTTAATTAGAATTGATCACTCTAGTACAACGAACAAGACAAGGTTGTACTTTTTAGTACACGTCACTTTTGTGGTTGCTAAAAATGATAACAATATGGAAGTGGAGACTGCATGCTGTCAGTTTTAATGCTTAAAACTACTCTCTTGAGGAAACGTAAGCACCAAGAGCCTGTTTTTGTTGTTTACTTTCTAACATTATTTTTTACTACCGTTCCATTTCAGATATCTACTGTTTTATCACAAGAAAATCCTAGAGTACGAATAATTAAAGAAACTGATTAATTAGGTGTTCTAAGATAAGTAGCTTTATACAGGTTGTGAAACTCTTGTCGCCAGAGCAACCAAAGCGCGGGAAAAGTTGCGAATACCCTAACCCGAATGACGTAGGTCTCGCTTCTGACTGGTTAAAAAATCGCGCTTACTTTTAGTGGTCAGATTTTTGTACCCAGTTACAAAATTTAGCAAGCGCAAGAAGACGAAACAATTTATTACTTAGAGGTCAGTCTAGTCGGTGTTATTTCTAGTACCGATCGTATTTGAAACGATAAATGTTCACTCTTTGTACAAATCCTTTTCTATCCATTTTGGTGAAATTTGTACATGCCAACCAGATCTTATGGTCGATGTAGTATGAATTTATGATGAAATGCTTTCTTGGAGAATGATCGTTCTAAAGACGTAGTTACCTTGTAAAGTTTGATCAATCACAGCTGCGAACGATAAACAGTAGCCAATCATAACTCAAACAAAAACGCGCAACAGGTTTCAAGCACGGGAAAAGGCATCCTTCTCTCAAGAAGGTGAATTCTGTAAAGTGTTATTGAGAAGTAATTCTTTAACGTAGAACTTCACTGTTCAGCTTTTAAACAAGCAACAATCTAACCTCTGTCGGCAAACATGGCTCAAAATAGCTTTTCAGGGGACAAAATGTTTTCTTCGAACCTTTTCAAAATACATGCGAGGTGATATCGGACTTGTGTTTGTTTTTGATTGATGAAATTAATGGCTCTTATTTTTTTTACCATCTCTATCACCCAAAAATAGTTGAAGGAAAAATTAAAAAAAAAAAGGAACTAATGATAATTTTGTACATTTTTGCTAAATCAAAGCATATAAAACAATAAACGATAAAGGCTCAAAGATCTTTCGTTTGAGGGGCTTTGCTATAGTTTAACCTTGAATGTTCTAAAAATTAAATCACGTTATTCAGTTAGCTATTCCTGTTTCTTATCGAGAAAAGCTGAAGTAAACCTTATTTCCTGTCTTCTTCCTTTCCAAAACTTTCTAAAAGAAAGACAGTTAATTATAGTTTTTTAATTTTTGGCCACCGCAAAACCAGTCTTGACAATGGCAATAAAAAGAAACAATTTTGTGCCGAGAATGGGGTAAATTATGGGAACGTCTATGACATGTTCTTTATGTGCTATCAATCTTTGTGTAAGTTAGTTTTGTAAGTAACTTAACTTGGTGCGTAGTACAAAGTCGTTAATAAGCAAAGATTTGTTGTACCATTTGCTATAAATATGAACTGTACGAAGAAGAGTATTTATTTGTAATTTTTTTCTAAAGCTAGTACTTCGGCGCCTACGACATGTTTTAAAATAAATTATTCCTTTGCATAATTTTGGTTTGTTGGATTTGTTAACATTCGACTCTCCTGGGAAATTTAGTGAGGGTTATGGGCACCTATTACTAGGAAATCTTTCCGAAGAACATGTACACTATCATGATAGCCCACTGGCAGCAAGTTTACGGATTACCACATCAACAAGCTTATGCAGGAATCGAAAGTCTTCGATAACACAACGTCTTCTCCAGGGTTTCTCGTTTTTCAATATGGCGGCCCCATAAAGAAGATCCTGGGATACAGCAGAACACGTAGTCAAAACGAGCAGATCCCGGGAACGAGGTTGTCCACAGCATTACTCACAAAATGGACGGAGATGTTTGTGCCCCTAGCCATCGGTGTTATTTAAAGATTTAACGTAATGCTTTTCTTTCAATTTTTTCTTTGCGTAATAAAGGCTGGTACAAGTGATTCAAACTAAATTCTACTTCTAAGACTCATCTTTAAGCATCTAAAGCCGCCGTTTTTTAGCCATAATTTTAAGTGGCCGGAAGGTTTGGCTTTATTGCCAATTAATTTTTTATTGATCTGTGTCCAGTCTTTAGAGACGCTTTCCATTAGGAGCCAATGAACTCCAACGAACGACTGAGAGACTGGTCACAGTAACGAAACACTGTCAGTGTATCCAGTCCTGAGTCCATGCACTCCATAGTCCAGTTCTTTTTCTCTGTTCGGCAATTCGTCACAGTAAAAGAGGGGCCAGAACTGGACTATGCACAGGAGTAAGTTTAACAATAATACTCAAGGATAAAATATTTATATAGCGCTTATACTTTTCAGTACCACGCGGACGTGAACATCATGGTTAGGTAAAAGGGGTAGTCTACACGCAAACAACCCACCAAACCCTCGACGTACTATAAGAGGGGCTATATATATATAAACCACTCCAAAGAGTAGTCTTCCATTAAATTTCTCAAAATAACAAATCAAAGGTATTACCGATTTTCCTTTGACGTCACAATGGCCATGCTGGTGGACAAAAACAAAATTGTTTCCCCGGATGAGAACAAAGCTCATCCCCAGTCCTTTGAAAATGGCAGGGTGCCTCCCATTTTTTAAGGGAAAAGTCATGATAAGGACGAATTCCGTTGGCGGAAACCAAATTCATGGCTTCTCCACGCAATTTTTATTACATTGTCCTCTAGCAATACCGCCTTGTCACGTGGTAGAAACAATTTTCGGCAACAAAGTATAGTGTAATAATGCATTTCATTAAGCTATTGCTCAAAAAACAATTTTGCCTCACCAGTCCTTCAAAAAAGGTAACTTCTTGGTAACTTTTTATGCCTTAAAAAACGCTTCCAACTACTCATTTATTCAATTATTAAGTACCTGGGCGCTTATTTTATTTTTGGACTTTGAGGGTAATCTCTAATCGAGGAGGGCGCTTTTTTTAGGCAGGACACTTATTAAACTTTTTCAGTTTTCAACAATATTGTACTAATTTTATTTTGCAACAAAACGTAACGATGACAATGATTTTTAACTGTTCAGGTACTTTTCCTAAAAATATAAGAAAACTCGATCTTTAGGGGTACCGCCCAGTATAACTTAGTCAGTATTTCGATCTCATTGCCAGTAAGGTCATATTTTATTTTGGTGGAGTAACACGAAGGTTGGCGCTTATTCGAGGTAAGGCGCTTTTAACTTTCCTGCCTATAGGGTGGGTGATTATTCAAGGTGAGCGCTAATTTGAGGCTCGGCGCCAAGATCGAGGCACTAATCGAATACGTACGGTAAGCCACGCTTTTAAAAAGCATTAGACCCGGGGCGCTCTATAAAGCGCTCTTTCAAGACGCATTTTATGACTATATGAATAAATTAACCCGGGACTGTGGGTTTTGGTCTCCCCCCGTCATCCCCCTTCTCCCCTCCCCTTCCTCTTAAACTTGCAAGTTTCGCTTGAGAATTTTCCGCCGAAAACTGTTTTCTGTACCTTTTGTCTGTCGATTGTCACATTCATGGGACCTGGGTCCCACAGAAAGAGACCTCTTTCCACAGGACTCAACGCCGGTCTGGCATAAGACGGCGTCTGCGTGCTGATTGTGTTTTTATAGTCGTCAGCCAATAAATTATACACTCTTAAAGTTTCTAGATGTAAATAGGGCAAATATGTTCGCCATTTACTTGTTTGTTGCATTGTTCTCGAGGTGTTTTACCAAATTTAACGTAAAAAGTAAAAGCATAAGTTCTGCATTTTTTGCTAAAATGAGCATAGTTTACAAAAATTAACATAATTACAACGGTATATTGGTATAAGTTTACAAACATACGAGCACTGCTAGTAAGATATTATGTTACTTTTGCGAGCACAATATCTATCAAACCTATTCCCTTGCACGGGGTGACATAGCATGCGAACAGCAGACGCATTTCCGGTCGTCGCTTCTCTCCCTCCGAAAAATTTTTCGGAGAGAGAGAAGCGACGACCGGAAATGCGTCTGCCTTTCGCAGGCTAGAGGTGACAAAACTAAAAAAGAAAAATAAGAATGATAAAACCCACAAACAAGTGAGGACAGCCGTCATGATTTGTGCAGATCTGGAAAAAAAATAGTCCACTTATAGGAATTCACAATTTATTTGATTTTTCTTTATATAATTTTTCTCTCAATCTTCTTACAAGTCATAAGAATCAGCTGGTTAGTTTTTTTACGTGTTAATTAGTGCTTGACCCAAAAACCTGTATTCCGATATCAAGCCCTAATATGCTGTTCGCTGACTGTAATCACGCGCAGCTCTATTTTCTAGTCTCTCCCTTCTATAAACTATAAGGGACTTCATTGTCTCCTTTTGTGCTGAGTTCTCGTCGAAGAAGTAGATTTGTCCTAAAGTGCCCACTGGTCCGTTACGCAGCAGTGTTCTTTTTTTCGTCTGGTCACGCAATGCTCCTCGCCGTAAGGACACAAATAACAACGGTTGCGTAGGAGAGAAACACAGCATTTAAACCTCACAGATGTCTATTAAAGATCGAGGAGCTGGCGGATGGGCCCAATGCTTCTTGAGGCGCACGCAAGCGTTCGCAAGGGGGCCGGCATTGCGGCACAAAGAATACCCACAGTACCTTTCAGTCGCTGTCGCGTGCATTTCGCGCGGTTCTCAAACGCCAGGAAGTGAAAGGGCGACCGATCGAGAGAATTTTTCGCGATTTCTGTCCACTGCTCCGTCGAAAATCCACTGAAAATGACAAGTGAAAAGACAGATGTAATTTATCCGACTTCCAAGAAGACAAAATTTGAACAACTTCGCGCAGACCATGAATTATTTCTTCAGGCTTTTGAAAGTAAGTTCTGTCTGAGATGTCATGTATTTCGTGCCGACTCGCTGAAATGTACATTCTCAGTCCGGCGTTTAAACCAACGATTTTTCCGTTTTCAGAGCCAACTCAAATCTACCGATTTCTTCGCACTAGAAATGCTGTCGCGGTGAGTTGAATTCTTTGTCCTTTAATTGATTAATCGTGAAAGTGCCGTGGAGTTCGATCTTACAGTAGCTTGTTATGTATTCGATCAATCGAGACGTGAAAGTTGTCCCATGCGTAGGCGTCGAATAGAATCGTATACCTTGGATAGTTTGAAAAGTATTAGGATTAACCTTCCAACAGCCATGAAGTAGATTGTCGTACTATACAAGTATATAACAATTGACTGTTTCTACAGCCTGTATTTCTTCATCGCACCCTGTCGTACATGAAGCACCGACGAACCTGCAGATCGACAAAAAAACGGTAAGTGCTTAGCTTGCGTACTGTGAGCTTTATCATCGCATATTTTCATTTCTTCTTCATAAACGTTTATTTAAACAAAGTTAAAGGAATCCTTCTGCATGTTAGACTAGTAACTCGCAGACTGGTTTGTTTAGAATTTTAATTTTGCTGAATTTCTAATAGATTTAAACAAAGACTTTCAACACGTGTCGACCGTTCACACGTGTTTCTGTTATACTCCAGTTGAAATTCTCTCAGAAAAGGAGATCTTCCAACCACAGCTTTAGGAAAAGAAGCTGTCCTCGCAATCACCCGGCTGTGTTACTCTTCTTGAACGCAGTGAATTTTTAGGTGCGGTTAGTTATGATATAGCCAAGCTCTTTACTGCGGTTTTCCCTTTTCTCTCGCCACCTTGGCATACCTTTGTAAGACGTTGCCTATAGTGGAAGTTTGGGAGTAAAATCTTTAACATTACCACTGTGCTCTTCTCTTGGACAAAATTTTGACACTTCTTTGTTCCTTACCACCTGGGGACAAGCCATCAGCCAAGGAAACCTTGTAAAAGTTTGTCAGCCCTGTTATGGTGCACTTTTGACACCGACATGTATAAAGATCACACCCAAGCAGTGTGTTTTTTCTTGTGCATTTTGCAGTTAAAACATTTGATGCAGGGTTTTTCATTCTGACATACAGACAAACAAACAGCCTTTATTTTACCACAATACAAAATTAAAGCTCTGCATCCTCTGGGGTCATGCAAAAAAACATTGTAAAACTAAAAAACAAAATTAAAAAACCAAGTTGATAAGCTATGTATACACACCCCTCTACACTTAAGACCTTTTCTTAATCCCCGGTAAAATATTATCAGACTCTGTGCACCTAAAATAACGAATCGAAAGGGCTGTTGTTATTGAATTCTCTTTTAAGGTCCACTCTTTGAAAACATCAATTGAATGGATTTCTTCAGTTTCTATTGCAAATTCCTTCTCAGTAACACATCGTTCTAGGTCACATTCTCTCTTGTGTCATTAGTTCAATTTTAGTAGAGCATCCTTGAAAATTCTTGTGTTTTTGCTATGGCTGTTGTTATCCAATCTCTAATACTAAGGTAAGCCTACAGGTTACTTAATCACTGAAATGTGGGGAAGAATGAGAAGTTATTTAGGTTTACCTTGGCTTATCAAGATTTAAAATAACTAATCAGTACAGATCAATTAATTGATTATAACCACAACACCTTGATGTTAAGAACATATTAGTTTGGCATATTTTTGTTGTCACAATCTATCTGTAGCAAATAATTTTCTGAAGTTTGCATTTTGTCTTTTGAAGTGTTAATCTTTAAACAGTTTCATATGCTCTTATACCACATAGCATACACAAAAAATATTTTTGAGTTTCTTTTCCAGCCCTCATCTACAAGAGGGACATGAGTTTTTGAATCTCTTTCTGATGGCCAGTACAATTGATCAACTCAGTTATCAAATTTTTGCATTTCATTCTCCATCCAAGCATCACCCAGGGCTCAAAAACAGTCCCGTCTGTTTCTCTGGGATGAGTAGTTTTTCTTGCTGAGCAAGTTACTGTTAAAGCCACTTGTCCAGTGGGCAAAAGTCCAGGCAAGTAATCCACCAGCTAAATCATTAGCCAAGATAAGCAAGTAATTGCTCTGTGCAAGCAAAACATGAGAGATGCTTGTATAAAGGATGTACTGGAATTCAAAAAGTTTTTTTGGAGACCAGGCCCCCCTCTTATCTCGGGGTCTGGATGACCAGCCCCCTCCCCCTTATCTGAAGGTCTGGATCTGCCACTGATCCTTAGTCAAGTTCTGTTCACTTCTAACCAGGAAGCTCTAAACATTATATAAACTTAACAGGATTAAGGCTTTTCTCTGTGTTTGCTTGTGACATGCCTCTGTAACTAGTCAAAGCTAATCAGAAGGAGCTTTTCCCTGTGTGCTTAGCTTTCATCAGTTGTCTCATCTTAATAGTGTGGTGCTAAATCAAGCATTATTTTTTCCAACTTTGTAAGGGAAGATTCACCGCATCCCCGTGGTAGATCCCTTCAGTATTTCTAATGTGCACTGGTACCACAGTTACACACAATAAAAAAATGGCTTGTGAGAACTGTGAAATGGTCTCCCTACTTAGAACTTAAGGGTTTCAATGTTACAAAATAATGCCATTAACTCAAAGGTAGAGGTCACAACAAGTACAATTTTATCTCTGATGTTGCTCTTTAAGGTCGTCTTGTATCATGGCTAACTTGCTCTTGTTATAGCATGCACTATCTTGGCACTAAATTAAGGTTTCCTGGATCCCCCCACAGTCTATCACATTATGATTATTGTTCAACTGAGAAAGATGACTGTGGAGAAGACAACAGGAGCAAAACCATAGCTGCTTTATGTTGAAAATTTCAGTTCATCTAGCACAGACAGCGAAATTTCTTTATTTACCCTTTATCAGCATCAATAACCTACAAGCTAAATGGCTGATAGTGGCACAGTTAAATTAGAAACCCCAGCTAGCGGAATACAAACAAGTTGGATATATAGAAACATGATTTAGGTGCTGATGCCTACTCTTCAGTGAATCAAAAACTTTGTAGAAAGCATGTATAACTCTAGAAAGCTGCCTCTTGAATTCATCGACTCTGAGCTCTTTAAGTGCCAACTGTAAATAGTTTAAGCAATGACATTTTAATTTTTACAATTACATTACCTTCGAGTGCTATTTTCATTTTTAAAATGTAATATTATGTGATGTTTTTATTTTCTTTGTAGTCGAGACTTCAAAGTGGACAACATGTTGGAAAAAATTCAGAGTGACAACAACAGATTGGACTCAACAGACCCACTGTTAGTAAATTCTTTTATACTGCAATGATGATATATCTAAAATATGCTTGGTGGTTACATTTCTTCTTTAGCTAGAAAACAGATGCATTAAAATCACACCAATAAAGTCAAAAATAACTTTTTACATATCATTTGTCATACTTAGATCCGTGTCTTTTCAGTTAATACATGAAAGTCTTTATTTCCTCTACAAATCCATTTGTAGTTCTTTTGCAAATGTTACTGCCCTTTCCTGGTTTAAGTGCTCAGTAAAAAGCCAATTTTCATAAAAGAATGAAATGGCCATGAAGCAGTTTATTAGGCAGGCATTCAATGGGCAAACAAGGTTAGTTTTTTCTTCAAAATAAAAATACTTCTACATTCAGAGCGAATTACAAGGAAGAAAAAATACAAAGGAAATTTACTAAGTTGAGAAGAAAAGAAAAGAAGGACAGAAAAAGATCATGCCTAAGTATTTTTTAAACAATGCAATACCAATACTGGCGACTGCTGTTAAAGGACCTTAAATCTTGCAAAACGCTTATGGAAAATGATAATTGTACCCAACGATTGTTTTTAGGTGGCAAGGAAGATAGTCTGTTAGGATCTAGAGAATTGTATACCCTGATTACTAAATTTCCTCATCTTTTCTCTACAGTGAAAACAGTGGATATATGAACCTTACTTTCACTGGTTTTTTTCATGGATCTGGTCCAGGTATATGATTGGATTTTTGCCCAAACCATAGTTTGCACGAACGGAGTTGGAAGTGAATGAATAAATGATTGAATGAATGAAGAGTTTTTAGATTTATTTGTTTGTTTAATTGTATGTGTTCATTTCATCTTTTAGCAAACGGCGATCTGGCTAACAGCAAGAAAAGCACATTGCTGGTCGAAGATTTCATCAAAGTTGATGTAGTTCTTGTGAAAATATGTCATAAGCGAAGGAAGGTAAGTCGCAGTTCGATTCGCGGCGTTCTGGGAGGTTTATCTTAGAGCCCGTTTTCTTGTGCAATATTAGGTGCTGAGTATTTGTTAACAATTTGCGAGTTTAAGCAACACTATACAACCTTGTTTAAAGGCCAGTTGCCAAGAATTCATATTTTAGTAACACTAGTTTTACGTCTCGTTACGTATATGTAAATAAAACATTTTGACTGTGAATTTCATCTTTATAATATTTTGGTGATATGCGTTACTGACTAAGCGTGACTGGTTCAAGATAGCTGGATTTTAGCCAAGTTCTTTTTGTCTCGCTCCGTAAAAACGCCAAGAAAGTTTCGCGGGAACAATTTTTTGCGAATTTGAACTTCAGACGTTTTTGTCGCGAAAAATTTTTCGTGGATATTGCTTATGATATTCCATGGGGCGCTCGATGAAAACAATATTTTTGTTCTTCGGTATGATGTACCGTCTTACCCTTGTATAGTACATTGTAGTTTAACCTCAAGACTCTCAGTGGTTCTGTTACAGTTGTATTAGCAAAGGTCATAGTATTGTCCGCAGTCAGTTAAATTGAATTTGTGAACAGGGAATAAATTTTCTTGGTTTCTTTTTTCGTGGGAATTAGTTTTTACGACAAATGATGGAAAATCGTGGGAATTCGCTAAAATCACCTTCCTCGTAAATTTTGTGCAATACTGTCATTCCAATGCAAACACGTAATAAGCTATTTCTGAGTTCCAAATACTCTCACTTTTAAAACGAGGCCAATTAAAAAACCTCTCTTGAGAAAATGAGTTTTATTTGCATGAGAATAAAAAATCAATTTCATATCAATAGCTTCGCACTTTGCCTCGCTTGACAGAGGCTTAGGGTAACTAGGAAATGGCCTGCTGATTTTTTTTTCTTGTAGGAAACTGACCCACAAGTGGTAACAGTTCCACTCGGCCAAGGCTCCGCTCCTTTTAATCCTCGCACTCAATTGTTACCAGTTTCCCCCTCTGCCAGTGTCTCTGTTCCCAGTGGTACATTCAAGAGCGGTAAGACGAGTCGAACGTGTATTCTGAGCCTGCAGGTCAGCGTTCCATATCGTATTAATGGTAAAGGCACTAAGAAAAAGTTGAAGAAGAAGGCAGGAGATTCACAATCAGATGTCCCAGAGGAAGAGAATGGTATTCACTCTTAATTTGATAGTATTCTACAGAACAGTGTTTCTGAAAGTTAAGCTTTGGTAAAATGAGTAAAAAAAGCCTTCATCTAAGCGTCAATGTTCGAAGTGCTTATTGATGATCACACACCATTTCTAATTGGTGATAAAGAGCGTTTTCAAATGACGTCGTGGCGACGTCGTGGGAGTTGAACTTTTTTCTTATGTAAGCGCTTTTTTGGTTCCAACAATGGCCACGTGAGTGAAAACGCTCTATAAACCCGCTATCTTCGTCTTCATTGACTTTAAGACCCTGAGTATTGATCTGGCCGGAGGTCGATCCTGCCCTTTTTCCTCTGTCCAGACCAGCTCTTTCAACTAATCATGAGCTCTCAATTCGATAGTTCAGTATGTTTCTGCACTCACATGTAAATTATATGTTGCTTTTTTTTATCCCGAGCACGGCTTTAACTCGGCTAACTCTTGCAAGGGGTGACCAAAGCTGTTCGGAGGCAACAAAGGCTGTGAAATTAAAGTTTAAGAAATGAATGAGCGTGATAGTAAAATCCTGGTTACTACGCAAATCATAACTAAATTGCTACCCTTCAGGTATTACCGACGCAGCTACTTCAGAAGAACCTCCTATAAAACGGCGCCGTGTAGCTCGCGGCTGCTCGGCCGACGTGGACTGGGACGAAGGCAGTGCCTCGGAAAACTCCAACACGTATGAGACAGAGAACAAGGTTTATACCGCTGAGCTGATTGTGTTTGATAATAACAAGCATTGTCTGCTCACTGACGGCGATTACGAGCTGGCACTGAACGAAAAGAACAAAAAACCGGGAAGAAAGAAGGGTATTTTGTCAAACAGAACGTCTTGGGAGAACGTTTTTGAAGGACAGGTGAGTAAACAGGGACTGATAGTAATGTTAAATTATGCAAGAACGCTCTTTAAACATGCGAGTCTCGCTTGCTTGGAGATTAGAAAAGAAATTAGTAGGCGATTAATTCTACACGAAACAGGATTTCCTCGCTAAAAGTCTTTCACGTCCTACTTTATCGACGGTCGAGTATTTTTCAGGATATTTACTTTTTATATCGTATTTGACGATTTGTTTCTGAATTGATTGAGTACGCGCGTACAAATACACGAAAATCAAGGGCTTCCATTCGAGAGAAATTACGTCATTGCCAGGAAGCAAAAACGTGATGAACATGGCTCATCATTTCAATCATCGCCGAAAATAAACTGCATGCTCATCAACCGACTAGATTAATAGCCTGCCCATCGAAAATTCTTTTTTTTTTTTACCACCTGAAATATTCACTTGTCCCAAAGTAATCAACGCTTTCAAGCGATAGAATTTGTGGACCGACCAGTTCCAGAAAAGCTTTTTCGCATTAATCTTTCTTAAGATTTCTGAGATCTTTTATGCGTTCTGGCACGATTCTTATCCCCAGTTTCCACGGTGTTCGCTAGGAACGCTTGGGAACATAATTCCCTTTTGGCCGGCACACACACGAAAAAAAAAAGAAACGCTTGCATTTTAGAGTCTTGCTGCTAAATCAAGCGAGACTAATTACCGCTTCGTTTATTAAAAAAGACACACACACTTCTCTGTTCTGTTCACATTTAAGCGTTATATTTGGAAATATGACAAATTTGAGAATTAATAGTACGGTCTCTCTTTTTCTTCGGGTTAAGTGAGATGAGTGAACCGCGTGCGAGCCTCGAGCGGCGAAGCCACGAGACGCCAGAAGCGAGGGGCGGCAGCACCAGAAGAAAAAAGAGACATTGCTGGTATTTCGCCCCTCCCCCGTCTGGCGCCATCAGTCACGTACATGATCATTTTAGTGTCTCGCACGTTTCGCACGACTGACCTAGAAAAGAGAGAGACTCCAGTTCGTAGTCTTATTCTAAGGAGTAGTTTGATCATTTCAATTGTATTTTCTTGGTGTGAACGTCCGTCATTCAGTACCAGATTATTGTTCAGTGGAGCATAAGTAAGAAAGTTTTAGATCGAGGGTTATCGTGACGTCATAACCTCACGTGATTAAAATTGATCTGATTGACTTCGGCTAATTTAGCAGGCAGGACTAAATTAGGTAATTCACGCTGGCCATGTTCTTGTTGGCTTGCCTGTTTTAATGGAACAGTTATTTTCTTTCTTCTTGTAGATGGGTCCTTTTGAAGTATTTGCTTACGGCCCCACCCTAAAGTTCAAGCTCTCATGGTCAGGTACTCCAGTAGCCAGGCCTCCAAGGCGTCCCTCGTCACTTCCGCTGCGTTCACCGCTGACCACGCAAAACGCTTCTTCCACAAACGACGCTCGATCTCCCGCTGAGGAGGCCGACGGGAACAAAGAAAATCGAAAGAAACAGCGAATATTTTACCAGTTTATTTATAATAACAACACGCGTCAACAAACTGAGGCCAGAGAAGATCTTTACTGTCCTTGGTGTTCTATTGACTGTCGTAAGCTATACAGTTTGCTCAAACATTTGAAGCTTTGTCACAGGCGCTTCATCTTCACTTACGCTGTAAGTACGGAGATTAGTCTGCGAGTAGCCCTTTATTTCAAAGATGGCGATGTGAACGAAATGCGCAAGCGCGTGCAATGGCGTTTCCCGCGAAAAGACACGAATCGCCAGGTGCAGAGAAAGCGTTTCCTTTCAAACTCCGTGGGAAGCGATTTTCCGCGCCCTTGAGCGTTTCGTTTGCTTTGCTAAAATAGGAGACTGATTGCAGTTTTATTCCTAGGGTGAAATCAAGGAAGAAAACTTTTGCCAAGAAAAAAAAGTGTGGTTTACGTCAAATTAAGTCTGGTAGCCGCAGTTTAATTTTTGAATATGGTATTGATATTTCAGCAGTTTAAATAAATGGCCATTCAAACTTTAAGTTGAAGCGATTTTTCTTTTCTGTAAGAATGTAAACAGGAACATCGGAACTGTTTTTGAATTGTTTTGCGAATGAGACTGGATCTTTACTTTGGGGGATGAGTTTAGATCCAGTTTCCCGTGCAACGTCGTAATAACCATGGCAACGCTTCCCCAAGATAGTCCCATAATGCAGTTCGTCATGACACTGACTCACCGACGCAACCTCGAAATGGACAATCTGCAGTAAGATTTTATCAGCTTATTTCTGGTTTGTTTATGTTTTAGCCTCACAGTAAGGGTGAGAGAATAGATGTTAGCGTCAATGAGAATTACGATGGATCCTATGATGGTAAACCCGAGGACATGAACGACCTGCTGGGCTACGCTCTTAGTCGTGAAGGACCGTCCAGGAGATTGCCAACTACTCACGTGATGGTTTGGAGGTAACGCAAAACGTTAATTTGTTTTTGGTCATGCGCACTAGATTTAAAAAGTTCTAGCTTCGTTGCTGAAATAGGTTACGAGTAGAGCGAGCGGAATACGGGAGCGTGCGTGAAAATTATTGTTCTCTCTTCCCTTCGCGTGTTATAGTGTGCTAGTTGGTTTCTACTGAAAAATTTGATGTCAATGTTTACGTGAATATATCTTTTTTCTCAGTTTTTGAGACCAAACTGTTTTTCTGTAAAATCCATTTTTGTACCTTTTGCAAAGAATGACCCCCTTCATTGTCTATTGCTGAGTTATGGATGCACTCAACGTCGAAGATTGAATTTGATTAGGCGAATTTTCTAGCTATGAAGTTTTCTCTTTTGATACCAAACGGTTTTTCGTTTTTTTCAGAATTCCTCGAAGAGAAAGAACCAGACGACGGCGAGTTAGATGGCAGTAGACCATTCTACAATGGACATCATAGGTACGTTTTACTCACTACTCGTCACAGCCTCGCGTGCGTGGCGGGAAAGGTACAGGGGAATAATTAATACAAGCGAAAAAACGATGGCCGTGCGAGGAAAGAGGAACGAAACGGCCTCCCACGCGTACTTTTTATATACTCGCGCGTCTTATTAAATCCCTTTTTCCTTTCCTCTTCAAAGGCCTGTCATGCAGGCTAGTGACAGAAATATTTTAAATTGCGGTTACATTTATCCGTCCGTTTTCATGCGGGATAAGGCCTTTTACCTTGGGAAAGAGAAAACTGCGTGACCGCTTCCTAGCAGGAAAAAATTACCGTGGGACAGTAGCTCTGTGGGTTTCTGTGTGCAGCATACAGTCGAACCTCCACTAACGCCCACCTCTCCACAACGGCCACTCTTTTTTGTCCCGGCAGACAGTCCATACATTGGCTCTTATTTAAACCTCTCTACAACGGCAACGGTACAGCGGCAACGGCAACGGCAGCGCGTCCCCAATTGCCAAATTAATCTCTCGACAATGACCAGTTTTATCTGCGACTGACGAAATTTGAACCGTATGGCGCGTTAATGAGTAATCGCGGCAATCGTATTTTGATTGTGTCCCATTTATAGTGTTGCAGTAAGCATAAATTGTCTACAATAGTCAGGGCTATCATTAAGGGCTGGGGGTGGGGGATTTTCCCTGGCTATTATGAACGTGACCCCCGCCTACTTTTATAGGAATATAGAAGAAAAATAGAACCAAACAAAATCGCTAGCTGTTGGATTCCCCGCCTGCTTGTATCATTAGCCCGGCAACTTGAAATTTTAATGACAGCCCTGAATAATTATAGCGATTGTTGCGACCCTGGCTAGTTTTGTCAAGCTCACATTTTGATAGAAAACATTATTTAAGTTTTTTAGTGTATTCTATCTCTATATGTCATTTATGATTGGATTACCATTATGGGATACAGTAAGGATGAACTTGCCATAATAAACATTTTGTACTCCCCTAAAAAAATTGTCATGATTACACCCCTACCCATAACGGCCACCTCTCCACAACGGCCACTTTCTTCTGTCCCCAAGGTGGCCGTTGTGGAGAGGTTCCACTGTATAAATGGAAACGACAAAAATTTAAAGAGATGTTTGTCTCGGGTTCCTTAAATCCCGCAAAGAGACAACCAATCAGTGGGCTGCTTTTAAATATCCCGCGTGAAGATGACCCACACGCGGTAAGTACGGCGGGAAACAGGCGCGTATAACCGCTCTTAACTTAATTGTATGTTCCCATCAGGTTTGTTTGCGCTTTTCTTCATACTTAATGTACGTTCATATTATTTGTTCATTGACAATTGTGTATTTTTCTGTAGAATGTACTTTCATTCAGAGACAACCCTTCCCATTAGAACTGCAGAGAAAGAACATGATAGCGAAGACGAAACAATTCCTGAATGGATGAGAGTCAAGACTATTCAGGTGTTTATCTGATTTGATTGATTTTTTTAGCCAAAACCACAGTAGAGACCTTCAGATCCTAAGACGAGAACAACTACGAGGGTGAGAGTTTAGAAGAAGTGCGGGCGCGTGAACTAGCGTCATTTGGCGGGAAAACGTGATAGCCGTCGTCATTCTACTACGAGATTTAGCTAGAAAGTCTTGGTGACGGAAATAAGTCATCAAATATCAGACGGTTCATGATTTTGCGATCTGGAGAGGGCTTAACCTCGTTTAATAAAACTGATAACCTTGCTATCCTCTCTGGTGACAAAAGTACAATATAACTTTCCGGGGTGTATATCATTTTTGGAGAATAAGCGAAAAACGTTTTGGTGAATTCTCGTCATTGTAGTCGTCCTCGAATCTCGGACGATTTGTTTTGATTTTCTTTCTCATTGGGAGACAAAATGACGCGAGATTCTTTTAGCCAATCACTGAGCGAGACAATGCAAATTAAGCTGTAGTGAAATTACTTTCGTGAGTCATCCGGATACCGCTTCATTTGGAGCAAATAAAACGTACCTTCTTGCGACATATAGTCTGAAAATTATTTCTCTGAATGTTGTCGTATTTGTCACAGTGTTTCTAGTAAATGATGGTATCTTTGTTTCATTTGTTAACTTCAGTTGATAGATGAATTTACAGACGTCAACGACGGAGAGAAAGAACTGATGAAGCTTTGGAATCTTCATATGATGAAAAACAGGTTGGAAAAATGTTCTTTATCAATAATACAGTTGAACCTCCATTAGGTGTTCTCCCTCGAGGTACCGGAAAGTGGCCGCTCACTAGAGGTTCGTGATAAATCCGCAGCATAATCTTTGGCGGAAACATCACTTTATTAGTATAGGTAATAGCATGATTTGTAGTGCCGGATATTTGGCATAAATACTACGAGAGATATTTCAAAATTGTTATACGTAATTTCACGAGCCGTTAGGCGACTGAAATTTGAGACAACTTTGAAATATCACAAGTGATATTTATGCCAAATATCACGTACAAATCATGCTATTATTTGTTTATACTACTACCCGTAAAAGGTTTGTAATTTTCACATGTAGGTATTTCAAATTAAGCTGAAATACCACTGCTCTAAGCCAACCAAATTGCAGAAGTTTCTCATGTAGTAGTATAATGAATCAAACACGCGACAGGGGAAACATCACTGGTCCACAATCGGTCGTCACTTTCTATCTCGTACTGTATTTTCCCTCATTATAATCTTAAAATGAAGCCAAACTGAGTGTATAAAATGCTTGATGGCCGCTTAACAGAGGTGAGAACAATGGGAGAACTCTCGTTGGGACGGTGAGAAGATGGCCGCGGCCGCCTAACAGAGATGGCCGCTAAATAGAGGTTTAATTTACCATTCATTCAGTCTACAATTATTTCGGATCTTTGATTACTGGCCGCTTACTTGAGGGTGGCCGCTTAATGGGGTTCAACTGCAATTATATTAAAACAGCAAGCAAAAGCGTAAAGCTCGTACGTGCAAACCCGGAAAACGCAAGCATGAGAACATTACCTCCTTTTCCGACATGTTGAATTCAAATTTGAAATGATTAACCAACATTAGCACCAAAATTTTATGCCATTGGCGGCTGCGCTTCTGTTATCGCCCGTGTAAATGCTTGAGCTTAAATGGTCTATGTTTATGTTTTAACTTCGTACGTATAAAATCTTAACAGACGTTCCTTTTCTTTTTCAGTTACATTGCTGACTTCCAAGTTATAGAGGCATGCCGTTCATTTATCGATAACTACAGCCAGAGACTCAAGGAAAAAAATCTGGAAAGGAATTTTCTGCTTCATCTGGTGAATCTACACGACTTTAACTTGATAACCTCTTCTCAGATCGAGGAAATAACTGCGAAGTTAAGAGAAAGCTGGAAAGGGCGGGCTCCCTCGACTAGCTGATCCTTGCAAGCGATTTCATAAGAAACCGAGTTTCAATGTTTAGAAGTCACCAGAAGCTGAAATATTTGGTCAGTTTTAGCTTTGCAGACTGTTACGACAGTAATTTCTCGTGTTACTGTTTGCTTCGAACACAATTCGTTCATTTAAAAGTGAAGAAAGTTCGATTTGCTAAATAATGAAAAAACGTTTGCATATACAATATTATTTAGCCTTAACAAACACCTTTATAAAACCATACCTGGAATACATTGGAAACAGTTTGTTGTATTTCGGCTCAGTAACTTTTGTTTGAATGGTTACACTTTAAAATTTCATCCACAGACTCAAAGTTAGAACAACCTTGTACAGCATAATAAAAAGTACCACTGGAGAGTACTGCTCAGTAGCTGCACTTGAATGGCAAGACTTTGAGCTTTCATCCACAGACTCACTGGCAAACATCATAACAACCTTGTACAGCACGATAAACACTACCCTAGGATAGGTTATTGTCCACAGACTGGAAAGTCAGAACCACCGTGTACAGTGTAATGATCCGTACCGCAGAAAAGTACTGCCCTGTAGCTGTCATTTGTATGGCCAGCCTTTAAACTTTCATTCATTGACTCACTGGCAAACAACCTTGTATCGCACAAGAAACACTACTACTGACAGGATTATGTTCTCGTCCACAGACTCCAAAGTTAGATTCCTCTTAACAGCTTACATCTTCGGATAGTGGTGCCGTTTCTCTCGACCCGACTGACTGCTCCTGGGTCTTCATAAACCAGATTACATATTTAGCAATCAAATTTTTTGAAGACTTTTTCTTCAGCCCGCGAACGACGGCTACGGTGGAAAACAAAAATTAAAAAGGGGGACGTTAAGCGATAGGCCCCATTTTGGTTCGTAGTCAAAATATCAACTGAATGTATTATTTACAAAAGTATTCCAACTCTAGCTCGTGACGGTAGCTTGATCCTAGGAAATAGACTTAAATTCAGTATTATTTTGTTCAGGTTAGCTTTAGCTTTAGAGCGACGTCTTTAATGCAACTTTGAGCTTCAAATTATTGTTGCTACAGAATCAACAAATATTAATAGTTGAGCTCTTTCCGTTAACGGCATCAATTAGTTGCACGACTTTCTTTTGTGCAGTTTTCCCACAAATATCGTAGGAAATGTTTCGCCGAGAACAGTGGTGAAAAGACAGGTTAAGAAATATGGCAATCGTATCCTCACAATAGCAGGCACATAGTTTTTTTACAATTAAAAGTAATAAATCAAACTAAGCACACAGTGTTTCGTACAATTTTCAGACACCGACTGTGACAGTTGCCTGAAAACGACACACAAGAGAATTTTATGACTCTTTGAGACACTGAGGGGAACATTCGATATAGCTCTCAAATGAACAATAATTCTGGGAGAGGTGCAAGATCTTAAGGAAATTTAATAAGATCCGATACCTAAACCACCGTCCCTTTGTTTTCTCTTCGTGAATTATTAATGAGTTTGAGACATTGTGGTAGTGACCTAATCTGTTATGTACATACTAGTGTAACGATTGTACCCGCTTGTATATAGCCGTATTTTTCTTATTTGGAGTGGTTCGTGGATGCTTATCAACTAGGTAGACTTATTTCACTTTGTAATTCGAAAATCATTACGCGCGATTCTTGTACAAAAGGAAGTGAAACATATTTTTCTATTTATTTGATAAGAAATGGTCACACTTTGCTCTTTAAGAAGGTTATTGCCCAATTCATATTATTATAACCCTACCCTCGTAC